TGATACTAACGGATTAACATTTTATAAAGATACAACAGACGCCAGTAATGTTTTAACAATAAAAAATGCACAAGGATATTTAAAATTTAATTCATTAAATATTAATGCTTATAATACAAGCAATGATAGTTCTTCATTACTGTTATTGAATACAGCAAATGGCAATGGTGTTTATTGTTTAAGTTTAGGAATTGGAGCAATTCAAGGAGCAAATAAATTAAATGTAAATGGTGGAAATGCTAATTTCGGTGGAACAACATCATTTCAAAATATATCAACTTTTAATAGTGATATCTATGTTAATAACTCTGGTAGAATATTTCAGCGTATCGATGCTAATAATTCATTGAATGTAATATCAACAGAAGAAATTAATTTTTCACTACAATCAAATAGAACAACCGATCCTACTACTTCAACAATAGCATTACAATTAAACGACACTAACGGAATTACATTAAACAGACCAGTAGTAAATAATCTTACTTTTAATAGTATTGGTAATTTAACAGCAGAAGCAGATTTAATAACTTGGGGAAAAATGAAATTTCAAAATTCATCAGAGTTTAGAGAAGTATTAGACACTCAATATAAATTATATATTAGAAATTCAGATCAAGCTGGAGAAATGAATTTAATAATGGGTTTAGAATCATCAACGCCAGAAATTCAACTTACAGACGGGAAAGTAACTTTAGTTGGACAACTAGAATTTACAAATACTGACGTTTCAGGACAACAAAGAGTACTAATAAACAATCCCGATACAGATGGATTTATCAGATTAAGTAATAATAATTTGTCAAGATTAGATGCCACAAACACAGGTGTTGATGTTTATGGTTTCTTTACTACAACTAATAACGCTGATATTGGAGGAAATTTAACATGTGTTGCTTTAACAGAAACATCAGACTCTAAATTAAAAGAAAATGCTAAAGAAGCAAATATTAAAGAATGTTATAAAGCAGTCAAATATATTAAGCCGAAAACCTATAATTTTATTAATGATGAAGACAAAAAACTCATATTGGATTTATAGCAGATGATATAAAAGACGCTAAAATGCCCTCTGAATGGGACAACATCGTATATTATAATGATGATGGCATGAAGTTATTAGCATATAATAAAACAGCAGTTGTGTTATGGGGGGCTGTTCAGCAGATTATACAAGAAAAAGATGAATTAACTGATTTAGTTAAAACAATGAAAAAAGAAATGGCAACAATGAAGGGTGAAATAACAAAATTGAAGAAGAAAATTAAAGATGATGATTAGTAATATTATTAAGAAATAATATTATTAATCAACCGGTTCTAGCGATTGGAGATATTCTTGGTGTTTTTTTGTCTTTATATGGTCGTTGAAATGTAATTTATTGATAGCTGAACCACAAGGACATTCAACTTTTTCATTGTGCTTTCCTCTGTATAATCTATCAGTTTCCCGCTTTTTGTCTTTAGTCTTTTCGCGGTATATCTTCGCCTTTTCTGCCCTTTCTGTTTTATGTGTATGGTAGTATGCGTTGCTCTCGGCGCACTTTCTTTCTTTATTATCTTGGTAAAACTGCGCTGGGGTTCTCCCTGCTACAAACCTATTGACGCATTCACAGTCTTTAATATACTCACCCTCTCGTTTCAACAATTCATCTTTAGTCTCGCATTTACAATACTCAACCAATTCAATTTTACAGTTTTCAACACCGAACTCATCAAATATGTCGGCAGAATTCATTTTACTTCTTTGTCCTTCTTTATGTTGTTTATACTGATGTCTATGCTTACTCATTCTCCGACTCAAACTTTCGGTCGTGCTACCGTTATACTGCTTATTATATCCAACATCAACGATTTTATAAATTTTACCATTATGATATTTATTCATATCCCTAAATATCTTAATATATCTTTTCTTTATATAACAAGTAATAATTTCTAAATAAAGATATAATGGTTAATATTGATGAACAAATAGAAAAGAAACTCAATGAACAATTAGAAAAGATAAAGGGAGACTTAATTATATTTAACACTATCCAAGATTTAACAGACAAAATACAAAAGTTAGAAGATGAAATAGAACAGTTGAAAAACAAGAACAAAGGATATTGCGGTACTTCTTCTAAATGCTTACCGTTTAACTGTTGTAGTTTCTCATTATTCTGATGATTAATAATATTATTTTGATATTATTAATCATCTTCATCAGTCCTTAAGACCTTCTCAAATCTAATGTAGAACATGTTATTTGCATCTTTTGCATTCGTGTTTATGTACAAGAAGCTATATGGAGCATCATTTATCGCCAGCTGGTACATTTCATACAACTGTTGCTTGTTTACCAGCGCGCTATTCTCTTCTAAAAAATGCATTGACTTCATTCATGTTCTTGAGTCTGAACACAAACAGTGCCGATGCATTGAGCCTAATTATTGGAGCTAGCACGTTGTACTTCTGAGTGGACAGTATCACTGAAATTGCGTTATGTCTACCTCTTGTGAACAATCCGTGCAAGATACTTGAGTACCTTACAAATTTTGGGTCGTCCGCGAAATCATCAATGACTATTAATATACTGAATAAATCCTTGTCTTTGTTTTTCTTCTGGAATTCTATTACCTTGTGTTGGGTGTCTATTATTTTCTGTAAGGCAGTTGCGTCGTAATGATTGAAATATATCTGTTCCTTTTCCGAGTCCACTTACATCCTTTATGTACTTCTTCACTGCATTCCACGTGTCGTCCACATCCACACTAGGGCTGAATATATAGATTCTCTCAAAGCTATTGCGGTAAATCTTCAATATTAAGTTCTGTATCAAAACTGTTTTACCGCCTGTACTGGAGGCCACCGCCAACATTCTTGCAGGCAAAGATGGCATCATCTCATACTTGCTATTTTTGAACTGATACTTGGGTATATCAATTGGTTCTACCGTCGGAATATCGCTCATTATTAATATTACTTAGAAAATTATATGTTATAATATATGAATTACGGTGATTGCATTAATGTCATTGACAACCTTGAAGAAATAGAACAGATAATAATAACAACGCCTAGATATCGTAGGTGTTGCTATTCGGTGCTGGAAATATGTAAAGGGTTATTGCAATATTTAAAATTGAAGAAAAACTAGTATACATTAATATATGAGCGATGCAAACAAAGATAATAACAAAGATGGAACTGATGGCGGTGTGAGTGTAAATAAAGATGGCATAAATTGTCTATTTTGTAGATGAAAGAGAAACACATACCATAAAGAAACTAAAACAACAACTGAAAATGATAAGGTTGTTGTTAATGTTGTAGAAGACCGTTCTAGTTTTCGTATAGGTAAGGGTAGAAATGTATCACCAGACGACGGAATATTTAAACCAGATACAGTACCACAAACTGGAGGAGTTGAACTCTGCAGCACGGGTTGGAGTCAAAATCGGAAAATCACACCAGAAGAATGTGAGGAAAGATTAGATAAAATTGAAGAAGAAGAAGTAGAAGATGTAAAAAAGGATGTTGAACAATTGAAAATAAATTTGAACATTTTGGATTAATATTTTTAAAAAAATTTTTCTAATATATATTGACAGTTGTACAGTTCTTTTGTATCCCAGAAGTTGAAACAGGATGAAACACCCCGAATGTGCGCCCATTGCTCTCATGCATAAGTCCCAGACATCGTAAGTGAGCAAGAGAAAGGGGAGTATCTTGGAACACTTACATAATTCGGATATACATAAGATATATCCCTAATTAGTTTGGAATTTAGAATTTTCATAATTCAGCTTATGAAAATTTTAATATAAAAGTTGTATTATAAAAGTTTTGATTTAAAAACTTAATGTATATAGAAGTATATGGGTGGTAAACCTGAGTTCAAGCAAGATGTCATACTGAGACTAGAGAGGATTGAGAAATTATTAAACGAAAGGTCGACAAGAAACTTTAACAGAACACCAGTTGATGCAACGTATGAGAATAAGAAGAACACATATTTAACTAAACTGAATAACAAGGAAATTTTACAACCGAAACAAACAACCCTTGACTATTACAATATCAAGTATAACGAAGAGACGAAAACCTATTCATAATATTATCATCTAATAATAATGAGTGAATTAGATGATAATATTTCTGTTGAGTTTCCTAAGGGCAGTGAATGTAAAACACAGTACATGCAATGTAAAGCATGTAAGCAAGTAAAATGTGTAGATGAGTTTGTAAGTAAGCATTATATGAAGGTATATAATAAAACATGTAGGGCTTGTTTAAATAGTAATGAAAAATCTAGGCTTAAAGGGAAGGAATGAGTTTAGGGAGTTTTCTTAGGAAATGTATTTAAAGGAATGAAGTCTTAATATATCAAGTGTTGAAATGAGTGAAAGAAAATATTGCAGTAAATGTCAAGGACATCCTAAGGTTGAAAAGTTTGAAGAAGGATATAAAACATGTAATACTTGTAGAGCAAAGGAAAAAAGATACCAAGAGAGAAACAAAGAGAAAATAGCAGAACGAAAAAAGGCATACACAGAAAAACACAAAGAGCATATCAAAGAAAGAGAACATCAAAGGTTTCTAGACAATAAGGATGAAATAATTACATGTCCTATCTGTAAATATGACATAAAGAAATACAAAAAGTCACAACATGAAAAGTCACAAACCCACCAGCGTAACTTGAAACACATGCAATGATACACCAATGATAATTTAATAATAAAATTAAATTATTATTGAATGCCCCACCCCCTACCCATACTATGCCCCATAAATTGAATAAACCTAACCTTGCCCAGTTTAGGATGTTACATCACCTGATAAATAGGATGAGATAGAGTATTTTAAGGATAATGAGCTACTAGTTGCGATTATACGGCCAATATATGTTCACGGTGATGTAATAACCCAAACTGGGCGACCCCATTACCTTGTCCATTTTGGATAATTGCACCTTATTTTCTATATGGTAAAGTGTTTTAGGATATTATGGCTATGATCTGGGCCACGGTGGTGCAATTACCCAAACTGGGCGAGGCCTCCCCTGACTCCTAAACCCTAAACCCTAAACCCTAAACCCTAAACCCTAAACCCTAAGCCCTAAACCCTGAACCCTAAACCCTAAACCCTAAACCCTAAACCCTAAACCCTAAACCCTACACCCTAATTCCATTCTGTTGGTGCTTGTGTGGCTGTGAGGCCAGCATCCCAGCGGGCTTGAACCCGAATCTCGTGCACGTGGGCGGCGGCGCTGAGCTCGCCATCTACGGCAACTTCTATGGCCAAGAGGACATCTGGCTCCTTGCTTTTATCTACTCATGGCACTCAAACTGTTGGAGGTTCGTTGGCACTAGCTAGCCGTCACGAGCCCAGACTCTGACGCTCATCATGAGTTGCACTTAGGTGTGGCTTCGAGGGTGTCAGGCAGCGCTCCCGCGCCACGCGTACTTCGAACCTGGAGATTCGCTGCCAAGTCCCTCCACGCACCGTTGGCATCAGCCGCGTGTATCTCACAGCTCGCGATGCCCGCGGTCTGCCCAGCGTGATGTCCGCGAACGTCGGGATGATGCAGTTGGAGTACATTGAGCCAGTTCATCTCTTCGATGTGGAGCCAAAGCAGGTGATTGACGGGAAGAGCACCCGGCTCAAGGTTCCTTGGGGACGAAGCGAACCCTAAAACGGTTTAGGGTTCATATACCTCAATAGGAGTTATAGTAGTATAGAGTATATGACCCCAATTTTAGGGTTCATATACCTTAGTAGGAGCTTTCGTAGTATAGAGTATATGATCCCAAATTTAGGGTTCATATACCTTAATAGGAGTTATAGTAGTATAGAGTATATGACCCCAATTTTAGGGTTCATATACCTCAATAGGAGTTTTCGTAGTATAGAGTATATGATCCCAATCTTAGGGCTCATTTCGTCCCCAAGGTTCACTTCAGGGTTCATATACCTTAATCGGAGTTCTAGTAGTATAGAGTCTATGATCCCAATCTTAGGGTTCATATACCTTATATAATTAATAGGAGTTATCGTAGTATAGAGTATGCGACCCCAATTTTAGGGTTCATATAGTATATGAACCCTAAAATTGGGATCATATACTCACCTTAATAGGAGTTTTCGTAGTACAGAGTATACGACCCCAATTTTTAGGGCTCATGTCGTCCCCAAGGTTCACGGCTCAAACTTCCGCCCCGTCTCGGCCCTTCGCTGCGGCTTCGAAAGCCGCGTGCAGCGGCACAGCCTCTTGGGAGACCAGGTGGTGCCCTTTACCCTTGTTTGTTTAGGGTTTAGGGTTTAGGGTTTAGGGTTTAGGGTTTAGGGTTTAGGGTTTAGGGTTTAGGGTTTAGGGTTTAGGGTTTAGGGTTTAGGGTTTAGGGTTTAGGGTTTAGGGTTTAGGGTTTAGGGTTTAGGGGGTTCCCTTCTAAAGTAACCAACCAAAAAAAGGGTGCCCTTGCTATATATTGCTGGGCTGCCAAGGCCTTCTCACCCACCGGATTCCGGTGTGGACTTGGCTCGGGCACGTCCAGTGCAGCAAGCGCATTGCGGGGAATGCGATCCGCACTTTTGTGATGCATCTCGGGCTTTCAGAATGCTTCATACACCCTAAACCCTAAACCCTAAACCCTAAACCCTAAACCCTAAACCCTAAACATGCTTTTCAGAATGCTTCAAAGTATGCATACAGGAGCTCCGTAGTTTTCAGAGCCAGAGTCGCTAGAAAGGCGGCCTAAACCCTAAACCCTAAACCCTAAACGCTAAACCCTAAACCCTAAACCGTAAACCCTAAACCCTAAACCCTAAACCCTAAACCCTAAACCCTAAACCCTAAACCCTAAACCCTAAACCCTAAACCCTCTGGTTCGGCCTGAGCTGTGCCTCAGCTTCCAAGGTTCTCTGCGGATGCCCTGGAGCCCCTGGATCGCGCCGATCACTTCATGTGCGCCTCCTACCAGAAGGATGGTACCTGGGTGCCCTTGCCATTTAGGGTTTTAGGGTTTTCGGGTTTTCGGATTTTAGGGTTTTAGGGTTTTGGGGTTTCAGGGTTTTAGGGTTTTAGGGTTTTAGGGTTTTAGGGTTTTAGGGTTTCAGGGTTTTAGGGTTTTAGGGTTTTAGGGTTTTAGGGTTTTAGGGTTTTAGGGTTTCTTGCGCAGCCTGGGCCAGATTGGGCTGTTCAGCCATTCATCATCCTAGACCCTAAACCCTAAACCCTAAACCGTGAACCCTGAACCCTGGGTCCTACTTGCAGGTGCATGTTAGGTAGGTGATCCGAAGGCATGCTGAGCACGATGTAGCCAAAACCCTTCAAAAGCCCTAAGCCCTAAACCCTAAACTATCCTAAACCGGAAATCCTAAACCCTGAACCCTAAACCCTAGATTTTTCAGAAGTGGGGGACACTGCCAGGTGTATCATACCTTTGATGTGAGCGGCGTGATGGCCCAGCCCTTTCTACCACGCCTGGAGGATGCGCTGGTGGCCGAGGTTGTCGGCAAGGACATCTTCTCCTTGGAAAGGTACACCGGCAACTTTGCGGGAGTGCACATTGGATATGACAGGCTGGCGCCAAAGCATACAAAAACTTTGTGACAGCCTGATGTCAGAATATTCCCCCCTGAAGTCTAGACCTCTGAATTGCTGAAGCCCCTTCCCCTAAACCCTAAACCCTAAACCCTAAACCTTAAACCCTAAACCCTAAACCCTAAACCCTAAACCCCTTCCTTTCAGGGGCGACCTGGAGTTCCAGCCAGATATTGACAACCTGACGCAGTGGATGTTGGACCGCAACCTCGAGTTGCCACAGGCGGAGCGGAAGTAAGAAATCCGAAGCCCGTGGAGCTCTTGGCTCCTAGGGTTTAGGGTTTAGGGTTTAGGGTTTAGGGTTTAGGGTTTAGGGTTTAGGGTTTAGGCTTAGGGTTTAAGAACTCCTGCAGTGAACCCCAGAAAAATTGGAACATCCTGCCCCAAACACTATGCTAAAGGGAGTCCCAGCTCTAATCATCCTTAAACCATGTTCCAACTTTACTGTCTGGAGCTTACAGTAGGGGTTCATGAAGCTTAGGTTGTCTCCTGCACGCAAGGCGATCCCGAGGCGCACCACCACTGCTCCAACCACCGCCACAACATCAACAGAGCCTCCAAGTGAGAACGAGAGCAATGTGACCACAACAAGCGGCTTTGCACGAATTTAGTTGCATCTCCCAGTTCATCTGGTTCTGATGTGTCTGCACTCTACAGGCTTTCTACAGCAACAGGACTGGGTGGTGTCAGCAGCAAGAACTTCCTCCCCCCATGCCGAAAACTCACTCTTGGGAAAAACCTGTCCTTGGGCCCAAAGTTGGCGTGGCAGAAGCACCGCCAACATTCAATGCAGAGCACTTTCACCAGTTGCGAGAATATCTGCAATGCTAATCCGCGAACCGAATCCCGAACGTTTGTGATGCTGAGGTATGCTGGAGCCAGAAGTGGACGAAGAGGATGACGTGGAGAACGACACGAATGAGAGCATTTCGAACGACAGCGTGAATGCCGCTGTGACCATGAGGACTCGCATCCGGCCATGAGCACTTAGTATATCTTGGAGTGCGTCGAGATCCTTTGCTATCCAGCTGTATCAGGGGCAGAAGTAGCAGTGTCCAGCTTTGTCTTGGCGTCTTCAGCTTCGAGTACGATCTTTTCCCAAGGCATGATGTCGATGCAGTACGCTTTCAGAACAGGTATATTGTTCGACATGTGTTTCGCCAAGAGACCTCAAAACGAAAGACTTTCCAAGCCACAAACCTCTGATCACGTAGCCGGAAAACCACAAGTAGACGCCGGCAACACAAAAGTCTACGATCCACGAAGAATACCTTCACATATCCATGATCCGCTGGTAGGGTTCAAGTTTTAGCAAGCTCTGAGGGGCATGCTGAACACCCTAAACCCGAAACCCTAAACCCTAAACCCTAAACCCTAAACCCGAAACCCTAAACCCTAAACCCTAAACCCCAAACCCCAAACCCTACATCACATCATGGCGGGGTACCGGAGGACTACCGTGCAGCGATCCAGCACCAGTACTTTCTTATCACCAACGACCACCTCCACCCTACCGGAGATCTCTGATGCAGATCCTTGGGGACGAAATGAGCCCTAAAATTGGGGTCATATACCCATAACTGCTATTAAGGTATATGGACCCTAAACCCTTTTAGGATTCAAATCGTCCCCAAGGATCAGGACAATGCGTCCGACGACAGCGAGATGTACAATGAGTCCGACAACACCACGACCTCAACCCAGACCACGACGAGCAGCAGCACCACCAGCACCACAACATCCTCAACAAGCACCAGCAGCACAAGCTCAACCACAAGCACCAGCTCGACTTCCACAACATCATCTTCCACCTCGACCTCCTCAAGCTCCACATCCACCTCAACCTCGACATCGTCTTCATCCACTACCTCCTCTACCAGTTCCTCTACCCTCCTTGGGAATTCTTTTTCATTTTTGTTCATTATCTAAAACCCAAGAGGATATTAAAAATACCATTATTATTAAGGTTCTAAGGGGAGTATAGGTTCCACGACCTCCTCCACCTCCAGCACCACCATCACCAGCACCACTACCAGCTCCTCCACCACGTCCACATTCACCACGACGGACGCCAACTTCACGTCGAACTACACGGAGGAGAACGAGACTCTTGAGGAGGTGATTCCGGACATCATCAATGTCTGGGTATCTGGGGGCGACTTCTTCGTGAAGAGGGAAGTGGGTTGGGAGACAAACTTTGCTACAACGGAGCCTGAGTATCTCTCCCGGCACCTGATACTGTGCCCGACCCCAGATGGTCTGTCCTGGCTGCGGAAGGGAGAGGACAATGTGAAGTTGCGCGTGACCCTGAATGGCCAGGAGTGGTCGGAGTCTTCACTGGGTCTGGAAGTCTTAGAAAGAGAAGACGAGCCCGCAATGAGGGAGGATCCTGTCCTGCAACCGGACATCCCACGGCTGGAAGTGCAGGGAAACCTCTCCTACGACCCTGCGTTGCGATTCCGGCTGGCTCAGGTGACCCCAGTGGTGGGCCCCTCCTCAGGAGGCACCAACCTGACTCTGACCATCACAACGTGGCCGCGCCTTCTTGCAGACTTCACCTTCGATTCTTGGTCAGAGTTGGGTAACAGTTTACATTTTTAAGGGTACTTAAAACCAAACATTTTACATTTTTAAGGGTACTTAAACCCGATAAGGAAAAACAAGTTTAACGTTTTTAATACGATCCCAACCATGAACTAGGATTGTGTCATTGGCTTGCAGAGGGTCCCGGCTACCTTGTTGCAGATCCAGTCGTCCCCAGACTTCCGCAGCTACACCCTGGGATGCAGGGTGCCCATCGCCATGAACATCCCCAGGCATCCGGTGCGCCCTGATGCGCCCCTCCCCAGGGTTTAGGGTTTAGGGTTTAGGGTTTAGGGTTTAGGGTTTAGGGTTTAGGGTTTAGGGTTTAGGGTTTATCTGGAGTCCCAATATCGCATCCAAGACAGACACAACAGCAGGTTCCCTAAATTCGGGTCCTCTGGAGCATCTGAATCAGAACGCGCACCCTTACATAAACCGGGGACCCCTGTTAGAGACCCTAAGTAGCAGGATTCCTGTCTCGCAAGGACTCAGAAGGTACCTCTAATTTCGCGACCCCCCCCAAAAAAAAAAAAAACCTAAATTCCAAACCCTAAACCCTAAATTCCAAACCCCAAACCCTAAACCCCAAACCCTAAGCCCCAACCCTAAACCCCAAACCCTAAGCCCTAAGCCCTAAGCCTAAACCCTAAACCCTAAACCCTATAGAGAGCTGGCTTGGGAAGGTTGACGGCAGCCGGCTGTGCCTGCAAGAAAGTCTGGTTTACACCCTCCGGGCAGACGTGCGACAGCTTCTGTGGCGGCCCAAGCTCGGAGTGCAGTGCGGTTTGGGGTTTAGGGTTTAGGGTTTAGGGTTTCGGGTTTCGGGTTTCGGGTTTAGGGTTTAGGGTTTAGGGTTTAGGGCTGAAAGAGTTTGAGGCATGGTTTGGCAGTAAACTCAGTAAACCCCCTCCCGCACCCTCAAATATTCGATCCAGGTATATACACATATGGTCACTGCTCAAAACCATGGCCCCTGCTTGCCCTAAACATAGGGGGGGGGGGGTGAAAGGGGACCATTATTCAGGGAGCCTTACTGGGCATATGTGGCATCAGGAGGCGGCCGCCACAGGGAGAGTGCAGGTCTGTGCTTCTGTTTTATCTGTGTCTCCGAGGCTGTAATCCCGATGGCGACGCTCCGAGGCCGAGTTTCCCACCTTTCGTAGCTCCTCCCAGAATTCTCTAAGATCGTAGGTGCCTCAAACATGGACCAAAAATTTAGAGGGCCCTGCTTCAGAGAAGATTTCCTGTACGACGGCTGCTTGTTGCTGCAAGGTGCCTTTCAAGTAGCCACCTTGCCGCGCCTGAGACCATCCTGGGCTCAAACAGCAGAAAAAAATGCGGATGGCAGCCATGGCAGCTTTCAGGACTCCCTTGCTATTCCTCTCCCTGGCGGCTCGGGCTGGGGCCTGGGAGGTTGCGAGCGTGTTCTGCGAGGCTCGAGGGGACTCCGAGCGTCATGGAATGTCGTGAGTGAAAAGATGACCAACTGTGAGTACAAGCCTATGTAGCAGATGTACATGCTTCTAGACGTACTTTTTTGCCCATCCGTATACATACATTATGTACATACATATGTTGGGAAGGTTGGGAGCATCTTTGTGGGCATGAACACGCCGGTTTCTTCGCCCCCCTGTTAGGATCCTGGCTCGAGTTCTTCATCCCCGCCCTTTGCCTGTGGCTTGGTGCACGAGGCTTTGCCAGATGCGGATGCAGTCGCGCAGTACGAGGACACTATGGAGCAAGTAGGTTCCTTGGGGACGAAAGTTCAAGTACCCTTCAAAAGGGTTTAGGGTAAAACTTTAACTCTATGCCATTTTATGGTTCATATACCTTTAATGGAAGTTATAGTAGTATGGACAGTATAGGGTATATGACCTCAATTTTAGGGTTCATTTCGTCCCTAAGGTTGGGCCAAGCTTCATGTGCATGGCCGGCAACGCAGCTCCAGTCCTTCGCAAAAAGACAGGTTGAGGATTGCGTTTGCTGCGGGCTTCGCTGAGGGTGCCTTGACGGCAAACCGAAGCTATCAGCACAAGCTCAACTACTACCAGGCCTACTATGGGGAGAATAAGACACGCTACGCCGGGGCTGCGGCATTCTTGACGCAAAACGACAGGTTTGTGCGGGAGAAGATAAAGAGTGAGTCGGACGGCTGGTGGGCAGAGATCCTTGGGGACGAAATGAACCCTAAAATTGGTGTCATATACCCTGTACTACTATAACTCCTATAAGGTATATGAACCCAAAACCCTTTTAGGCTTCATTTCGTCCCCAAGGATTGCTGTTGTCTGGGCGCAACTTGACGGCTTAGTGGCTGGCAACGCAGCCGCGTGTGGAGCAAACTGCTTGACTCTGCTCGATTTCCTCTTCTTCCAAGCTGAGCAAGACATGGACCACTACTATTTGCTTCAGAACCCCAAAAGAAAAAAGTGCTTAAGAACCCCAAAAGAATAAACAGTGATAATCCCTATATTACTATATTACCCTTATAAGGAGGAATATTTTGTTGTTCTTGTGGGGGTTCTTAAGCAATTGGTAGGACAGCGTGGTGGTATCACCCTGGCATGAGAGTGAGTGGACTGTGGAGCGCGCTGCCGAGTTCACCCTCAAGACCACGCATTGCTCATCGATAGTCAGGCTGGCGCCAAACAACAGCGACCTCTACGTGGGGCACAATACCTGGACCGGATACTACTCCATGCTCAGGCTCTTAAAGGACTCTTGAGAACCTCAATGAACCTCACCATGCCACCGTCCCACTTTGGTTGACGTAATGGCTCCTAACTAAACCCTAAACCCTCATCAAACCCTAAACCCTAAACCCTCAACCCTAAACACCCATTTTGCAACAGGAGTATGACCTGCCACTGGGCGGAAGTGCAGACAGGGTTGTGTTCTCTGGATACTTCGGTCAGCTCTATAGTGGGGACGACTTCTACACCCTCAGCTCAGGGCTTACGGTGCAGGAAACCACCAACTCGCCCCTTCAAGTGCAGACAGCAGCACTTTGAATAGGGTTTAGGGTTTAGGGTTTAGGGTTTAGGGTTTAGGGTTTAGGGTTTAGGGTTTAGGGTTTAGGGTTTAGGGTTTAGGGTTTAGGGTTTAAGGAGAGCGTCTTGGGGCTCCCGCGATGTTTTACGGGCCGTTAGGGGAAAGGGTTCACAGGAATCGGTGAGTCGCCGGGGACGTTCAGATTGCCTTCTGAACTGTGGCCTGAGAAAAAAAGAGTTTTAGGGTTTAGGGTTTAGGGTTTAGGGTTTAATTAGGGTTTAGGGTTCAAACCCGATAACCCTCAGTCGGAACAACTGCGCAAAGGTTGTACAACAAGACGACTGCTGCCTTGATCAAACCGGAGAGCGTCCTCACGTGGCTGGGTTACCATCATGAGGGTACACAGCAAACAGTGTTCTAACTTACCGTACGGGGCGATTTAGAATGGCAAACAACACGGTACCCTTGTTCTGGTAATTAACTTTAATGAATTCCCCCTCAACCCTAAATCCTAAACCCTAAACCCTAAACCGTAAACCCCAAACCTACACCCTAAACCCTAAACCCCAAACCCCAAACCCCAAACCCTAAACCCTAAACCCCTCAGCAAGAAGGTGGGCCAGAACGCTGGTGGCAAATCGCCGCGCCACGGATGGGCCATCCTGGGTTCGATGGTTTTCGCCCTTCAACTCGGGGACCATCAACAACCAGTGGCGTCCTTTCTGCATCTTTCCGGTATATAGGGTTTAAGGTTTAGGGTTTAGGGTTGAGGGTAGGCATAGCATACATAGAATAAATACCTACCTATCTATCTATCGATCGATCTATCTATCTCTATATGTTGATTCGTTTGAGTTTCTTTAATGTGAAGGCACGGTACACTGCATGTATACATACAGGGGTAACGTCAGTGATATATGTATACATGTACGCATATTCTACATGATATATATATATATACATATACATATACACATCTATACATGTATATATATATATATACATGTACATACTCAAATCTATATACATATATGTATATATTCTACATATGTAGATTACAGCATATCTATATGTCTATTATATATATATATATATTATACAGAAGGGAAAACACAGGTCTTTGGGTTTTGGGTTGGACAGCGGCTTTGTTTGTATCTTTCTTGGCTTCTTCCAGCGACTTATTAAAGAGTCCACTCCAGGGCTAGGGTTTAGGGTTTAGGGTTTAGGGTTTAGGGTTTAGGGTTTAGGGTTTAGGGTTTAGGGTTTAGGGTTTAGGGTTTAGGGTTTAGGGTTTAGGGTTTAGGGTTTAGGGTTTAGGTTTAGGGTTTAGGGTTTAGAGTTTAGGGCCGAGACTGTGATGAATAAGCCATGTCCGTTGGTTGGATGTTTTATGTCTTGGCTTGTTCCCGAAGGACAAAGAACCGCAAACCCTGTGATATCGCACAGAATATGGGAAATATCATATAGGATTCATATCGTAAAATTCTATATATATATATATTAAATATGATATGATAGAATATATATATATATATATTGTATTTATTTATTTGTATATGTATTTGCAATCTCGTGCGTTCTTTTCAAGGGCGAGACATGCGCTTCAGAGAAGCGCGCTTGAATCATCAGGAGCTTCAGCAGCCTTAGCTATCTTCGGCCCTACAAACTATTCGACAATTTAGGTGTGCTAGCCAAAGATTCAAAAGTCTCCAAATCGAGGATCTGAAGGTCTCGATTGAAGTAGTTCTGCCCGTGCAAACCATAAGCATTGCAGAGCTGGAGACTGGACAGCACGTAGGCGTGTTCAACAGCACCTGCTATGTCGACACACAGCTCGCGTGCGCATCCAATCCAAGGCAAGTTGTTGCTACCAGCAGATTTCGGCCTGGTGAGGAGGTGCCAAATGGCATGCTGATTGTGCTTGAGCAGATGCCCGGTCTCATCGTTTGGGAAGATGTGAGTGAGGTTCTGCAACTCAGCGGCAAGTGTCAACATGGCAAGTAGAAGTGCATGGCGTTATGCCCCGCAGCAGTGCGAAGTCGCGAAACTTCAGGAGAAGTCAGGGATTCTGGGTCTCATACAACTCCCCGTTTTTCCCAGAAATTCGGGAAGCCTCTGGCGCGCAGTTTATGGAAGAGCGCTTCGGGGATGCCTACTCCTACACCAAGAACCCCCGTGCCAAAATCTTTGCTCGTGACATCTCGAACGCCACCGACCTGGCCAAAGTCCAGCATCTTCTCCGATACAACAACTGGCAGCATGATCCCTTGTCAGCTGCTCGGCCCTTGTTGAGGAGCTCAAGTTAAGTGATTTCTGCGTAAAAAAAGCATGCGTGCCCTTTTTGTTATGATAGTTTTGGGGTATCTGAAGTGAAGTTCCTTGACTTCTGAGCCCAGGCTGCTGGATATTCGGGACCTTGGGAGCCGCGCGCTCCCGAGAATGCCATTGCTGCAAGGTACGACTTGCATCCGTGGGCGAACACGACGCAGGCGTTCGGAAACACCGATGGCAAGATCTGCACCGCCGCGGACTGCCAGGCCTTGCGCTTCACTGCTGTCAGCGGGCCCAGTGCAGACCAGCAGCCGCCCTTCTCCTGGACGGGTAGATGGGCGTCCTCGCCGCACCTGGGGCAGCCAGAGATGTTCAACTTCAGCTGGATCAGCTTTGCGGCTATGCCAGCACCCTCTACACCCACTCTTGTGGTCTAGGTTCAAGAATTGGAGAGAGCACCCAGGGGAAAGCGCCGTTCTTCCGCGTTGCACACGACAAAGTGCTGAGAGCGGCATGGGTGTATTGACCACTTGGGTCCTCTAGTGACGCACCTCGCCATGGCCCGCAGAAATGAGGAAATGGGTCCTGCATCGCCCTGCATTCTTTCAGATTCCGAGAACTTTCAAACGTCACTTGGGATGCTCCCCCTACTAACTGCTATAATCCCCAGTAAGGACTGCTAGTATCCCCAGTAAGGACTGCTAGAATCCCCAGTAAGGACTGCTAGAATCCCCAGTAAGGACTGCTAGTATAAGGGGGACCATCCCACGGTGGGGTGGATCGGAAGGCACGAAGCACAGCTCTGACCGCACACACGCTGGCAGGCTGTGGTGCGCCGTGGAGCAGCCTTTGTGTGCTGGGCTTAAGGACACTTTGGAGGTTCATTGTACCTATGAACCAATTTTTGCTGTTATAACTGTACTTATCACCATATTAGGGCACTTAAGGGGCTTCTTAGTGGCTTATAAGTACGGTTATACTTGGTTCATAAGTACCGTGAACCTCCAAGCATGGGCATGGTAGAGAGGTTCGTTCTAAACGAAGGCCCCCTCTGGGTGAGACATAGATGTAAAGTGCTACTCACCAGCGAATCTTAGCAGGAGCTCGCACCTTCGTATCTGAGTTGTAAGTCATCTCTACATTTTTCTGCAACTGCGCAGGGATTCTTAGAGTAGAGCATGATAGGCCGCTGTCTGAGGTCAGGGAGCTGACTGGGGCGTCTGCGACAGCGAGGAGGATCCCATGCTGGCGGGAAGCTACCCTGTCTGTGGGCCGCCTCAGCAACTTTTCGGAGCTACAGGGCTTTTGTCATTTGGGGACATCCGTTTTGAGCAAGCTGCCCTGTGGCCTGGCAAACCCGGACCAGTGTGAAGAACCCTAGTTAAGCCGTAGAATCCGCCGCGCGCCATTCCGTGCACTAAGCTTCCGAGGGTGGCGTGTCAGGGATGCTTTGGGTGTCGGTTGCGGTCGGATCAGGCCGTGGGTTGCAGGTATTAGGCGAGGAACCCAGGATAGTCCGGACATCTAACTTTTGTTGGGTTGAGCTTCGACAGGCTTGTACTGCAAGAGGTGATGCACGATGTCGAAGCTGCACAGACTCCAGGTGTGCGAGTGGTGCCGTCTTCGGCCGAGCAGGTCTTCGAGTATGAGCCTTGCAGCGGGCTTAGGCACCAAAGCACTTTGGGAACTGGATGGAGGTGACAAGGTCTACCTGGGGGGGGGGGGGGGGGGCGGGGGTTCTCATTGCAGGATGCCTTGTTATATTTGAGATGCCCAAAAGACAGAACGATTCGGATGAAGACCGCCACTTGGAGCATCTTGAGGCCAGCATCGATTCACCTACATCAGGCTCGCCGGGGTTTCCGAAACAGCTCATTGGCACAGGTTTAGGGTTTAGGGTTCCGGGTTTAGGGTTTAGGGTTCAGGGTTTAGGGTTTAGTGTGCCTTCCACTTCGGATGCTCAGATGGCCTAAGGGCCTCGCGTGTTATCTGTTGTGGAAAAGGCAGCCCCATGTGGACAGCGTCACTCCGCTTTCGGGGCCAACAACGGGTGGCACCAACGTGCGGGCCGCAGCGTTGCCCAGACAGACAAGGAAAAGGAGCAGCATACCCCTAAGCCCTAAGCCCTAAGCCCTAAGCCCCAAGCCCCAAGCCCTAAGCCCTAAACCCTAAACCCTAAACCCTAAACCCTAAACCCGAAACCCTAAACCCTAAACCCTAAACCCTAAACCCTAAACCCTAAACCCTAAACCCTAAACCCTAAACCCTAAACCCTACACCCTAAACCCTAAACCCTAAACCCTAAACCCTAAACCCCAACCCGCTGCATCTTTCGGCACCAAGTGCCCCGAACCCTTCGACCTTCGATCAGCCCCCATGGTTCTTTCGAGGTCACGGTGCACGGGCGCTACTTTCCCCAAGCTCGGCTGGGCGGTCTCCTGTGCCGCTTTGGTGCTTCCCCCAAATGAGAAGCGCACATCTTCAGAGGAAGACTCTCTGGTCCACTTTTCTAAGCACAACGGCGTTTGTTTTTCTCTTTTTTTCCTGAGGAACCCGGGAAGTTGGAGCCATCGCGCCTGGGCGATGGCTCAGCAGCCGGGAGATCACGTGTGCCCGCGGCCTACTATGCGCGCTACCTTGCGAGGGCCTGGTGTTTCGAAGCCTGAGACCAAGGTGACACCGCAGTCCTTCGGGAAGAGCATGGGAATGAGGCCAATGCTCTGGCATGCTCATGCTTTGTGTTACATCTCTCTGTTGGTGTTTTAGTTTGTTTGTTGGTTGTGTATGCTGTGTTTGTTGTGTTTGTTTTGTTGTTTTTTGTTATGCTTGTTTTGTTTGCTTTGATTCTTTGTTTGTTTGTTGTGTGTGTGTGTGTCTGTGTTTCGTTTGCTTTGCTTTGCTTTGTTGTGCTTTGCTTTGCTCTGCTCTGCTCTGCTCTGCTCTGCTCTGCTCTGCTCTGCTCTGCTCTGCTTGCTTGGAGTCACAAGCCCGCATGCAGCCTGCATTTCCTTTGCCCCGTGGCCGAGGGCCCGTGCGCATCATGTGCTAGTGTAGGCACTTTTTCTTTGTTGGCATGTTCCCGCACCGCCCTCAGAAGCAGGAGCTAGGTCGTGGGGTTTGCGCCGCCCTCACAAGAGTGGTAGGCAGTTGAGCTTCAAGGTTCCCAAGGGTTTCGACCCCAGTTGCCTGAGCAGCTGTTAAGGGTCAAGTCTGCTCTGCTGTGCTCTGCTCTGCTCTGCTCTGCTTGTTTGTTTGTTTGTCTGTCTGTGTGTTTCTGTGTGCGCGTGTGTCTGTCTGCCTTTGTCTCTGTGTATGTGCGTGTGTGCATGTGTGTCTGTATGTGTCTGTATGTGTCTGTATGTGTCTGTATGTGTCTGTATGTGTCTGTATGTGTCTGTATGTGTCTGTATGTGTCTGTATGTGTGTGTGTGTGTGTTCGTTTGTGAGTTTGTTTGTTTGTTTGTTTTTTTTGTTTGTTCGTTCGTTCGTTTGTTTGTTTGTTTGTTTGTTTGTTTGTTTGTTTGTGCGCGTGTGTGCCTCTTTGTGTGGTCTCTCTCTCTCTCTCTGTGTCGTGCGTGCGTGCGTGCGTGCGTGCGTGCGTGCGTGCGTGCGTGCGTGCGTGCGTGGGTGGGTGGGTGGGTGGGTGGGTGGGTGTGTGTGTGTGTGTGTGTGTGTGTGTCTGCGTCTGTGTCTCTGCGTCTGTGTCTCTCTGCGCGCGCGCGCGCGCGCGTGCGCGTGCGCGGGTGTGCGTGTGTGTGTGGGTGTGTGTGTGTGTGTGTGTGTCTGTCTGTCTGTCTGTCTGTCTGTCTGTCTGTCTGTCTGTCTGTCTGTCTATCTGTGTCTATGTGTCTATGTGTCTATGTGTCTATGTGTCTATGTGTCTATGTGTCTATGTGTCTATGTGTCTATGTGTCTATGTGTCTATGTGTCTATGTGTCTATGTGTCTATGTGTGTATGTGTGTATGTGTGTATGTCTGTGTCTATGTGTCTATGTGTGTGTGTGTGTGCGCGTGTGTGTGTGTGTGTGTCTGTCTGTCTGTGTCTGTGTCTATGTGTGTGTGTATGTCTTTGTCTATTTGTGTGTTCTGTTGCTTGTCGTGTATACAATTTATGCATTTAACTATTCATGATTCTTGTTGTATAGTGACGTGACACCTCGCCAAAACACAGCTGCCTCTGTGAAGTATCGGGCGATCTGGCTCCTAAACCCTGAACCCTAAACCTAAAGCCCTGAACCCTAAACCCTTCAACCCTAAGCCCCTAAACCCTGGTAATTGCTTAAGAACCCCCACCCCCCCAAAAAAAACAAAAAATAAAAACTAAAAAGTCTTTTTTCTAAGGGTAACATAGGGATGTATAGGGACTAATATGTTCTTGTCTTTTTTCGGGGTTCTTGAGCAAATAGTAGAACCCTAAGCCCTAAATCGTCTATGAAGGACCGTCCCGGTCACCATCTCCATCAACGGCGGCGCAGACTGGACGCCGGGACCCGAGTCTTCCGGGCCTTGAATCCGAAACCCTAACCCTAAACTGGTTTAGGGATGGGGTTTAGGGTTTAGGGTTTAGGGTTTGGGGCTTGGGGCTTGGGGCTTGGGGCGTAGGGTTTAGGGTTTCGGGTTTAGGCTTGGCATGTTCCCCCTTATACTAACAGTCCTGTATTCGGAAGTATAGTACCCCCTACCAGTTTCCCTATTTTAAGGCCTGTTAGTATAAGGGGAAAGATCCCAAACCTAAACCCTTAATTTTAGGGGGGCTTGAAACTGATAGGTGGCCGAGCAGGGGAAGAGTAGGGTGTAGTAGGGGATCAATAGGGTCTAGTAGGATATTAGGGTGTAGCAGGGGATTTAGTAGGTTGTAGTAGGCCTCTTCTCTTAAACGCCTCAGCTATTCGTCTCTTGGTTTTGCCTTTCTTTTTGCAAGGCCGACCACGGCGTACTTCAGCTTTGTGAGAGAGCTCAGAGGCTGAACTCACGGATGGGCGTTTGGGGCCTTTTGGGGGACTTTGGGGGTTTGAGGGCTTTGGGGTTTTTGTGGTGTTTGGGGGCTTTGGGGGCTTTGGGGGACTTTGGGGTTTGAGGCTTAGGGTTTTTTTGCGCTCGGTCAGCCAGAGGTTGGCACTCAGAGTCTAGGAGTTGCAGACCGTGCTTGGACCCTTGGAACGGTTGCACCCAACCGGGGCATGATGATGCCCACGGTTAGGCGATTCGGGGTTGTGGGGAGTTTAGAGCGATAAGCCCTAACCCTAAACCCTAAACCCTAGGCCCTAAACCCTAAACCCTAAACCCTAAACCCGAAACCCTAAACCCTAAACCCTAAACCCCTTAACCCTAAGCCCTAAACCCTAAACCCTCAACCTCCGGAGGGTTTGTCACATTCCAGGCGCCATCTACCCGGAGTTTGGGCCGCGGCGCGGGGGGACGCTGCTGGATGTGGAGAGCCCGGCATCCGTCCGACTGGTCAGTGCGGGGTATGCGAGGCATTGTTAGACCTGCTGGAATTTAGGGTTTAGGGTTTAGGGTTCTTTCTCAGAATAGGGGTACTCTTGTAAATTGAATCGAATCCCCGTAAACGGACCCCCGACAAGGGTATTCCCATTTTCGGAAACCCCCATAAAACTTGCTCCAAGCCCTGAACCCAACACCCTCCCTAAACCCTAAACCCTAAACCCTATAAAGTTCTGAAAGCAGCTCTTGGGTGAAAAGTGGCTGCATCGGCTGCTTGGCCCGACACCCCAAAATGGCCTGGCTGGGAACCCTTCAGTCGTTAGTAACATGGGTTTAGGGTTTCGGGATTAGGGTTTAGGGTTAGGGTTTAGGGTTTAGGGTTTAGGGTTTAGGGTTTAGGGTTTAGGGTTTAGGGTTTAGGGTTTAGGGTTTAGGGTGTAGGGTTTAGGGTTTAGGGTTTAGGGTTTAGGGTTTAGGGTTTAGGGTTTAGGGTTTAGGGTTTAGGGTTTAGGGTGACTAGCATGCGCGTGGCATGTGAAGGCGCTGTCCTTGATGAGGTGCATGTTGTTCGTGGCGATGAGGCTGCCGAAGTGGAGCTTCTGAACGTGTCGCAGGCTCGCCAGAATCTGCCCCTAAACCCTAAACCCTAAACCCTAAACCCTAAACCCTAAACCCTGAACCCTGAACCCTAAACCCTAAACCCTAAACCCTAAACCCTAAACCCTGAACCCTGAACCCTAAACCCTAAACCCTAAACCCTAAACCCTAAACCCCAAACCCTAAACCCTAAACCCTAAACCATCAGTGCGGCTTCCAAGTGAGCTTTACCGAGGTCAAGAGCTGCTGTTTCGGTTCTCCACCAGCAACAGTCGTGCCAGCCACGAAGGTCACGGACCAGCCTCGACCTTACGCGTTTCGGTTCCTGTTTTCGGCGCCCAGCAGTGCGCACCCAGACCTTTAGTTTGTAGGGTTTATAGTGTTATAGGGTTTAGGGTTTAGGGTTTAGGGTTTAGGGTTTAGGGTTTAGGGTTTAGGGTTTAGGGTTAGAACCCTCAACCCCAATCTATCCCAACATCTCAGGCTGTACCAGTGCAAGACTCCTCCTTGGCCCCAGAGCCCAGTGACCATCGACGTGGGGGTCGCCCAGGCCACAGCCCTTGCGTGCTCTCCGGTTTAGGGTTTAGGGTTTGGGGTTTAGGGCTTAGGGTTTAGGGTATAGGGTTTAGGGTCAGTGCTCTCCGAGGAAGTACTTCTTTCTGTTCTTATTGTATCATCTGTTCATGCGATTATTGTGCTACTAATCGCTGTTCGAATTCTTCTTGGGATCTCTTTTTATCGTTAGCCTCTTTGCTTCTCCTTACTCATTCTGAATCACTACTTTTATTCCTTGAGTAGCCAGCCTCCCCGAAGCCGAAGAGCGTGATGCAGGCCGACGGTCGTTGCCAGGGCCCTCCGCACGCACGCTTCGAGTACTCAGAGCCGCAGCCCCGTTGATAGGATATGGGCAGTTCTCGAATTTGCGGTCCTTTATTCTTCTCTGCATACCCTAACTACAAGGGATAATACTAAGAATGCCTCCAAGGGACCATGATGTAAAGAACCTCAGAGTATGAGCGGGTCGTGCAACACAGCAATGCGACCTCTGAGGCAGTGGAAGATTACCCGGGTCTACCCCGCTGAGTTTGATGAGAAGCAGCAAGCAGAAGGCCTGGTCTTTGAAGGGCTTCCAAGCAGCTGACCCCAAACCCCCGAGCCCATAGAGCGTGTTTAGGGTTTTAGGGTTTTAGGGTTTTAGGGTTTTAGGGTTTTAGGGTTTAGGGTTTTAGGGTTTTAGGGTTTTAGGGTTTTAGGGTTTTAGGGTTTTAGGGTTTTAGGGTTTTAGGGTTTTAGGGTTTTAGGGTTTAGGGTTTAGGGTTTAACCGCTTCTCAGAGCAACGTGCTGCCATGAGAACCTCGCCCGACTGAATTGGTGGCCACAGTGGTTCTGATCATCCCGTGGCCCTTGCAGTCCAGTTGCAGGCTTCAAGCTGTTCGTGTCGGGCGAGAACTTCCGACCTTCGCGGACAGCTATGTGCCAGCCTTAGCTGAACCCTTAAACTATATCCCTCTTGGGAAGTATTTGTTTAGTTTTTGTTTATAATAAAACCCAAGAGGATATTAAACAATATTGTTTTTATTAAGGTTCTAAGGTGAGTATAATAAACTGGACCTGACCATGGCTTGCCAAGCCCGGCCGCAACCCAACGCAACATCGAGTTCTAGCTGACCGTAGTTAGGGTTTAGGGTTTAGGGTTTAGGGTTTAGGGTTTAGGGTTTAGGGTTTAGGGTTTAGGGTTTAGGGTTTAGGGTTTAGGGTTTAGGGTTTAGGGTTCTGCAACTTTTGAGGTCCAACCCCCGGAAGGCGGCAAACTCAAAACACTCAACGCGAAGCCTACAGTTCTTTAAGCCCAAGAGCTTTACATGACGCTTGGAGTTTTAAAACCGAAGCCTACGTTGACCTGGTCGGCTCTCTGAGTTGTGGTCCCCTTTCCGGTGCTCTGATTTCCCTGTGTTGTACAAAACATGCTCCCAACAAAAAGGACCCTTGCACCCGAAGCCCCAAACCCTAAACTCTGAACTCGAAACCCTAACCCCTAAACCCTAAACCCTAGACCCTAGACCCTAGACCCTAAACCCTAAACCCTCCTGAATTGACCAGGTGCCGGCTCGGAGGCCCAGGAGGCATCATGGCGCAGGCGGAGGCCCGGTTGGGTGCAAGGGGTTCAGGGGTTTAGGATCTACCTGGTTTAGGGTTTTGGGTTTAGGGTTAGGGGTTAGGGGTTAGGGGTTTAGGGTTTGGGGTTAGGGGTTTAGGGTTTAGGGTTTAGGGGTTCAGTGGTTCAGGGTTTAGGGCTTAGGGTTTAGGGCTTCAGTCACGTATTGACCCCAGGCTGAAGGACATCCAGTTGCCATTGTCCTATCGTCGTGCTTGCCTCTGCAAGGCCGCTGCTGGTCAGGGTCGTAACTTTGTTTCGCCAATCGCCATTGCTTCGAATCTACTATTTGCTTAGAACCCCCCCCCCCCCCCCCAAAAAAAAAAAAAACAACAACAACAAACAATACTCCCTATATTACCCTGTGTTTTTTGGGGGTTCTTAAGCAATTGGTAGGAATGGAGGGCTTCGGGGTACCTGGCTTTCGAAGGTCATCCTCAACAACTTCACCCTCTTGTGCGCCGTGCCCTCCACGGGCTTCCATCTCGCCATGGCCCCAGCCGCCAAAGAAGGGTTTAGGGTTTAGGGTTTAGGGTTTAGGGTTTAGGGTTTAGGGTAGTCCACTGTTTTGGGATGCTGATGGCTCGTTTGCTTTGTCTCTTCCCCTTGATCTGAGGGACGCCGCCAGCATAGCACAACACATTAAACTGTTGGAGCCCTCATGCTCACCCCCCAAACCCGAGAATCCGTAGCCTTAAACCCTAAACCCTCTATTTCCTTTTTGCGGGGGTGGGTGGTTAGGGGGGGGGGGGGGTGTGGTGGGGTGGGGTACCTAAACAAGCTAAACTTCATCAAGGAAGTGCGTTTGGGCATCCCGTCTTCAACTCCAAAAACCCGAGCAGCCTATGCCCCATACCCCAAACCCCAGGCTTTTATATCCAAACCTTCGGAAAAGCATTGGTCTCGAGGCTGGGTCTCCTTCCGGAATCTCCTACGAAGTCGAGGTGGGCCGGGGCGTTTTTCGGCCGTTACAACGGCATCAGACACCTGGGCCCTTGCATGGCGCATCTCCCATTCTAGCCGAAACCCTACACTGACCCTGCACCCGGATCAGAAGGCCCGATGGATGTAACTCTCTTGCCACTTGCAGCTATTCGGTGATCAACTGGAATTACAGGGCTTGGCGGTGTGTTGAACGCCTTTGCGCACCGCAGATTGCCATGAACGGACGGGACTTCGTTCCGGGAGTGCCACCAGCCGGGAGCCTTCCTTCTTGTTGCAGGGCGTAGGGTTTTGGTGCTTAGGGTTTAGGGTTTAAGGGCACATCTTGACATCGTTCTTTGTGCTGAGGTCATGGTGCGGTTCGTGACCGCTACGTCGGTTGTGACGGCACGGAGCCAAGAGCGGCGTGTTTTTATTGGTTCAATGCTGGGCGAAGGTGTAGCAGCGCAGCACGTACAACTATGCGTCAGGTAGACCCGGAGAACGTTTCAGCGGTGGGACACCTGCCGCTGACAGTGACAGGCGGCTCCAGTAGTAGGGTGAAGCTGGTAGAGGTAGTGTGGATAGAGGTCTTGCTGGAGTGGTCGTCGTCGTAGTCGTGCTAGTCGTCGATCCTAAGAGTGGTAGCAGCAGGAGCAGTAGCAGCCGGCATACTCCGTGACGCTGTCCGCGGAGGTGCCAGCTTAGCAGCGGATGCTCGCTACTGCATCTTCGGCGAAGGGGAAAGAGCTGTGGAGGCGGCCGAAGTCTGCCAAAAGAGTGAATTGGGGGGCTTGCGAACACAGGGGACCCCCAAATTAAAGATCCCCAAATAGTAAGATCACCTTACAATAAGGACCCCAATAAACTACCCCTAATTTCTGAAACCCCCAACTCCCTCCCCCACAACCAAAAAGCAAAACAAAAAATCATAGAATGTGGTAGTTGCGTCGTCATCGTCATCATCGTCATAATCAAAATAGTCATATGGGGGAGCTTCTGCTGGAAGGTCCCGGTCTCGGTGCTTGCCAGCGACCGCGAAGTTGTATGCCCCAGCCTTGCCTTCACGCTTGCAGATCATCTTCGTGTATGTTGGTCCTAGAATTCCATAGTTAGATGGAAGCGGACGTGATTCTGAGCTCGTTTTTACTGGTACTCGGGAAGCCTACGATATCTGCCTGATTCCTGATTCATGGTTCCAAGGCACGACCCCACACTGGGAGATTCGGCCACATGGCGCAGTCTCGGAGCGTACGCGACCCATTTGGCTGTGCCCAGTCCAGCTCTTGTCCTTTCATGTCAGTGTACCTTTCAACCACCCGGCACGCATGTTTGGAGGTTCAGTGTAGTTCTAACCCAGTTCAATAACCTAGTATTGGGCTAATTGTACAGTTTTAATTGGGTTAGAACCTCCAAGTAGCGTGTGTCTGCGAGGCGTGCTGGTTCGGCTTTCCACTGACGGCGTCGGCACAGCACGGGCGTCCTCAGCGTACGTGAATTTCGCAGCAGCCCTAGGAGTTCTCCAATTCCTTGGTGAACCCCAGTACGTACACCGAACCCTAAACCCTAAACCCTAAACCCTAAACCCTAAACCCTAAACCCTAAACCCTTAGAGAACTCACTAAAGGGTGGCCATGGTCGTTCAGCCTTGCGGGTCGGATGTTTCTTCCCGGTCTGTCGCAAGGTCGCCTATCCGGAGCCGCTGACCGTGGATCCGATCGAGGGTCCTGTTGAAGGCCGGTCTTGTGTTAGCCGATAATAATCATGATAATCATGATAATCATAATAATCATAATAATCATAATATTCATAATAATCATAATAGTCAGAATGATCATAATAATAATCATAATAATCATAACAAGCATAATAATCATAATAATAATCATAATAATCATCATAATCATACTCATAACAATAGTAATAGTAACAATAAACGTAACAATAATAGCAGGCTTAGCTTCACTACTAGCAGGTCGCGGGTCGCCTTCCAGGTTTCCCGCAAGCCTTAAACGCTAACCCCCTCAACCCTAAGCTCTTTAAACCCTTGAACCCTTTTTTTCGGGAGGTTTCCTTATGGAGGTGCCTAAGCTCTTTAAACCCTTGAACCCTTTTTTTCGTGAGGTTTCCTTATGGAGGTGCTTAAGCTCTTTAAACCCTTGAACCCTTTTTTTGTGAGGTTTCCTTATGGAGTTGCTTAAGCTCTTTAAGCCCTTGAACCCTTTTTATTGAGGTTTCCTCTTGGGAGGTGGGACTATGGTCCGAGTCCACGGCCATCATTTCCGGCCTCATGGGCAGGACTGGACAGACGGTGTTCATTTTGCGTTCTGCTTGTTGGGGTTACAAGGGACCCTATTCATATATGTACATACATATACATATAAAAGATATTGTCAGGGTTTAGGGTTTAGAGGCTTTAGTGTGCGAACAGCCTGGCTCTTGAACTTGGGGGGGGAGAGGGTTTCGGGTCTTGAACCCCATGAAAGAAAGAGGGCAAGGAAGCGAGCCATCGATCCCCGAAAGGGCCAATCACGGGCGAATCTGTCCTAGGAAGCCTGGGGACCAGGAAGGGCTCCCAGCAACCCCAGAAGCCTTAAATCTCATCTCGGACAGTGACAGGTGGGTAGTTTCCCCATGCAAAGCGAGAAACCCACTGTACAATCCCTCTCTTAAGTACTCGGGGACTCCTTGACTGAAGTCATCCTGAACCCACCCGGTCCACCGAAGGGGAGAAGGCCCCCTGAATTGAGGGAGGACGTTCCTGGAAGCCCTAAACCTTAAACCCTAAACCCTAAACTTTAAACCCTAAACCCTAAACCCTAAACCCTAAACCCTAAACCCTAAACCCTAAACCCTAAACCCTAAACCCTAAACCCTAAACCCTAAACCCTAAACCCTAAAACCGAAACCCTAAACCCTAAACCCTAAACCCTAAACCCTAAACCCTAAACCCTAAACCCTAAACCCTAAACCCTAAACCCTAAACCCTAAACCCTAAACCCTAAACCCTAAACCCTAAACCCTAAACCCTAAACCCCAACCCTAAACCCATTTTTCTCAGATGCCCTTCTCCTTCTGCGTGCAACGATAGGGTTCCCGCATCCAAGTGGTGCACCCCAAACACAAGCTTCAAGATCCAAAGTCAGGAAGCCCCAAACTCGAGCGGTTCAGCATGGCAGCATGTATGGTCACAGTCTTCTGTTTTGTAGCGTTTGTGCTCAGGAGTGTCAGTGTCAGAGAAGATTCCTTCATGCGCTGGCCCGGTTCCATGAAATCTGTCCTCGTACTTGCCATAGTCTCCTCAACGACGAGAGTGGCCATGCAGTCGCTTCTTTCAGTCCTCTTTGGCTACCCACGCCTTCCAATGTTGTGCTCGGCAGGCTTGAGGTTGCCGCGGCTTCAACGTGCCAAGATTTTGCCGATCAAGATGCAGAAGCGGACACGAAGCATGCCATTCTCACAAAATGCCGGGAATCCCGGCAATTTTCGCAACCGTGCGATGGGGACAGGTCTGATGGACTGCTTGGCATGCAGCAGATTTGATTTACCAGCAGAGTCAGGACCTGCAGCTTTGGCAGTTTCAGCAGGCATGCATTATACTTGTGCTGTACGAACAGATGGTCAGCTAGTCTGCTTTGGACAAAGTCCAAGTGGGCCGTGTGCTGTGCCTGCAGATTGGGGACTAATATTGGAAGTTGCAGCCGGTGATGCTCATACCTGTGCAATACAGGCAGATGGTCATCTCGTCTGCTTTCGACACAATCACTATGGCCAGTGCGACGTGCCCGCAGATTTGGGATCAGTTTCGGCCGTTTCAGCAGGCGGTTTTCATACTTGTGCAGTGCAGGCAGGTGGACAGCTAGTCTGCTTCGGAGACAACGCTTGTGGACAGTGCAATGTGCCCGCAGACTTGGGACCACTTTTGGCAGTCTCAGCTGGTGGCTCTCACACTTGTGCATTGCGGGCAGGTGGTCAGCTAGTTTGCTTTGGCGACAACGTTTTTGGGCAGTGCGATGTGCCCACAGATTTGGGACCATTCTCGGCAGTCTCAGCAGGCTCTTTTCATACTTGTGCAGTGAGAGTAGGTGGTCAGCTAGTCTGCTTTGGATATGGCCTAGAGGGGCAGTGTGATGTGCCCGTAGATTTGGGACCAGTTTTGGCAGTCTCAGCAGGCGGCTTTCATACTTGTGCAGTGAGGGCAGGAGGTCAGGTATCCTGCTTTGGAGGCAACAGAAATGGGCAGTGCGATGTGCCTGCAGATCTGGAAGCAGCGTTGGCAGTCTCAGCGGGCCGTTTTCATACTTGTGCAATACCAGCAGAGGGTCAGCCAGCCTGTTTTGGAGACAACAAATACGGGCAGTGTGATGTGCCAGACCGCTGGTGATGTAAAACGTACTGCTGGGCCCAGACCTACATTCTTCTTTGCGCGCTGTCATGAGTTGTGACCGTGCTGGGATGACGCTGATGCTTGTTGTCACGGCGGCCACTACGACTACAGTGTTTGCAGCATTCTGATTACTTTTTTCTTGCTCTTATTACAAGGACGACGACAGTGTTCGATATTTGGTGCCATGTTTCTTCTCTTCATGTGGAGTGGACCTGTCCATCGAAGGGGGACAAGGGCGAAGGAATGTGTGAGAGTTCTTCTTGCGCGCACTTTGCTTGCAGTTCGCGCATGGTTGGCTTTTGCATTTCTGTCTTCGCAAGTTGTTGCTGCTGCAGGCGCTCTGGTAGTTTGAGTGTGTCTTGCCAGACTTTCATCGCAGCTGTGTGTTGTGGTTCGTGCCGCACCCTCTGCCACCCTGCGGCACGCTTGGGAAGGGAAAGGGAAGGGGAAAGTCTTGTGCGGCCATACTGGGCTTTAGCTTTTGCTACGCCGGCGCCTCCTCAAGCATTTGCATGTCTGCAAGTGCTTCCAGTATGTTGTATGGAGCATTGTGCTACCCACTCGCGTGAAAAAGTGAGGCGTGCGATCAGGGTTTCGTTGTGTTTGTGCTTTACCATTTCCTACAGCACTGTCCCTTCACTTGCGCGAAGCTCGAGTTCAAGAACCCCGTAGCCACACCTAATCCCAAACCCTCGACCCTAAGCTCCGTGAACCCTGAACCTTCCCTAACCTTCATACAAACCCCACAGCAAGACCCCGAAGCCCAACCCTTAGCCTGAACCTAAGACCCTCACGAAGCCCTACTAGCCCCGTAGCTCTCTAAACTCACTTTTGAACCTCAACCCTTTATTATAAGCCACAAACCCTACACCCTTGGTTTCATTTTTTCCTGGGGGAGCCCAATCCTTTCTGGTGCCGTGCTCTGAAAAACTGCTCCGGGGCTTTCTTTCGCGTGCCGGATCTCAGGATTTTTTGCTTTTTCTCTGCTTTTCTCTTAGGTTTCGGGTCATGGGGTCTTTAGGCTTTGGTGTTGTGCACGTAGCTGCGCTAGGCATGGATCCTAGGGGTCTAGGAACTCTGAACTCTTGGTTGCAGGGCGCAGGGCAGCACACAGTCTTCTGGGATGACAGATTTTTGGTCAGTATAGGGTCAAGGGTTTTTGACAGTTTTGGGTTTGCATTGCTCAGGATCTCTAAATTTAGGGTTTAGGCTTTAGGGTTTAGGGTTTAAGTAGTTCTGGAGGAGCTGTTCATCCGCTGCATCTTCGGAACTCGCAGGAGCCAGGCGCGGTGAGGCAATAACTTGAGCCCCCATCTGCCGTTGAGTAGCCCTAAACCCAAAACCCTAAACCCTCTTCTCTGCAAGGGGGAGTCGATTTGGGGACACGAAGCATGTCCTTCTGTAAAGCCAGACTTAGGGGCTACTCTCAAGCGAAATGCAGGGGTCGGAAGAATTACTAGTCGCATTCCCTTATGGTCCCTTTATCATCAAACTATAGGAACCCCCGAAACCCGATTCGAATTCTTAAGGCCTCTATATTCGCCTAACGGCACTTGTTCTGTAGCGCGAAGGGTGCTATCATCACGATTTCGTGGCCAAGGCTTTGATCCTTTCGGATTCGGAGCTCCAGTGTCGCACCCTCGGGCGATGTGGGAGTGAGGGTGACAGTTGCTGGATGGGGGTTTGGGGGCTTTCGACCCTGGAGGAAGAACACGGCTTTGTGTGCAAAAGCAGCATGTGTCATACGGGTCACGAAAGCTCCTAGGAGCTTCACGGGTACCTACAGCTAGGGTGAGCTTAGAGCCATACTTCTTAGTACCCATAAACCCTGAAGTCGCTCCTTCATCTTCGAGCCTTTGCTGACGTCCGCTTTCGGCACAGGCACCTTAAGCTTCATTTCGAAACCCCGCCTGTGGGCGAAGACAGTCTGTAGCTTTCGTGGCCCCGATCTCAAGTCAAAAGCGGCAGCCGCCATTCCACCCTTCTAACCTCTCTCTTCCCTGTTGCGAAAGCAGGGGTCAGTGCCCCCAGACTGTTCGGTCAACTACAGTTGCAAATCTTGACTGCCACCAGAATTCCTGCGTCACAATGCCATAGGGAAACTTGGAGCCACGTTAGATTTCGTCGTGTCGCAGATGCTGCGCTACTCTGCTACGTGTAGCCCTCTGCAAGGCACCTCTCCCCCTGTGGATGGTGCCTACCTTCCCACGGGCTACCTGGCCTCCTTCGACCTCGAGGCCTAAGGTTTAGGGTTGAGGGTTGAGGGTTGAGGGTTGAGGGTTTTCCCAGCAACCCCGTCGGAGATTTGTCGTCATTTGGTCCACTGCAATGACAAGCTGGCTCTAAGAAGACGTCGAGGCGACGGCTACCGGCCCTCCACATAGAGGAAAACCTCAACAGCTTGAGCGTGTCACATTGTACATCGAGAATCGTTGCCCTCGTCTTGAGAACTGTTTGTCGCAGATGGTGCCGGCGTCAGTGATGGTCAAGGGAACCACGCCAGCTGTGCCCTCAGTTGGTCATTCGAGTGCTCTTTCTTCAGCAGACGGCACATCCGTTTGACAAAGGGATCCTCGGCTGCGGAATGCAAACCCATCTCAACAGCCATGTTTGAAGACCGAAATCTTCGCCTCCAGAGTGACTAGAGCAAGGCGGCCGGGCAGTTCCCCAAGAAGCAGCTGACGTTCTACTATCGGCGCTTCGTTCCGTCGATCTCCTGGGTGGGCAGCTCAGAAGGTCTTGGACCTTTCTCAGATCCCAAGAGGAGCCCATGCATTTCAGGCATAAGTAGCTCTCTTTTGATTCCCCATGCTCACTGCTGTGGATGGCTACTTGTGCACATCTAGCATAGACTGCCGGGGCTTGGGCGACCTTCGGTCGCCAGGAAACTGCCGCACATCTATGATACCAGCCTCGGGCGAGAACGGGTGCCTACAAGCCCCCTGCCCAGAAGCCCTGAACCTTGCAGGTAGAGCCCCTGAGTGGCCCTGAATTCGGCAGCACCCTCGTGTCCCTGAGATCTGCGGGGGGCCCCCAGAGGGGCACAGCTGTGAGGGTTTCGGCTTTGGGCTTTCGGGTTAGGGTGTAGGGTTTTGGGGTATTGGGGTATTGTGGTTTAGGCTTTGTGGGTTTGCCGACATCCTGGTCTTTGGTGAGGGAACTTCTGGTGCTCTTACAAGATTTGCTTGTGGGACTTCTTTGTTAAGGGGGGGGGGGGGGGGGGGTGGGTTGAGGGTTTAGGGTTTAGGGTATTTGGGGACTTCTGGATATTGCGGCTCTGGGCTGCTATGGAGGTCAGGCCTTATTCTAGGCCTTTGTAGAACTGAGGGTGCAGGCTTGGGATGTTTCCCCTAAGACTCCTAAGACTAACAGTCCTCACACTAGTATAAAAGGATTATAATAGGGGGTACCAGAATCCCTGTTAAGGACTGTTCGTCTAAGGGGGGAACATCCCAAGTGCAGGCTCAAGAGCTCCGCACCAGGCAGAAGGAATCAGGTCGCTTCACTATTCCCCAGTTCGCCTGACTAGGTTGCAAGCCGTTCTCTGTCGTAGCAGTGTTTGAGGGTTTCGGGTGAGGACTTTTCGTCATTTTGCGTCATCGCTCAGTTTCCGGATTCTCCGGTCTTGAGAATCTATCATACCGGGTCGTCGAGTTTCTGAGGATGCGCCTATCCTGAACTCGAAGAATCTCAAGTGCGTCTTCGGCAACATCCAAGTGCCGCTCTTCCTTGTGACGCAGAACGAGGCCTGCCGAAGATTGCCGAAGAGTCGGCACCGCACCCTTGTTCACCTTCCCACAATCTTGGGATGTTCCCCCTTATACTAGCAGTCCTTAATGGCGATTCTAGTACCCCCAATTATAATCCCGATAAAGGACTTCTAGTATAAGGAGGAACATCCCAACCAAAATATCAAGTTGCGCAACCCATGATATCCAGCAAGTGTCCCCAAGGCCTTAAACCCTAAATCCTAAACCCTAAACCCTAAACCCTAAACCCTAAACCCTAAACCCTAAACCCTAAACCCTAAACCCTAAACCCTAAACCTAAACCCCTAAGCCTCGGAGCCCCATGGATCTGCGACGCAGGCAACCTGCACGTCTCCAGCGCTTCACAAGCCTGGAGTGGTGGAGTAGCCTGGCCACAACTTAGTAGCAGGGTTTAGGGTTTAGGGTTTAGGGTTTAGGGTTTAGGGCTGAGGGGTGCCCAGGCCTTGAAGCCTTACGCACAACTCCCCTTAAGCTTCTCGCTTGCCATGGGCCATAGTCTCGCATGGTATCGGGTAGACACTGCTCCAGGGTCTGGGATGATGTGTGTAGAATTGCTTGAAGATGTCGCATGCATTAGCATACTCCTTGACAACTTTTCAATCTTCTGCCCTAAACCCTAAACCCTTTACCCTAAACTAAAACTTTAACCCTAGACCCTTTTAACCCTGAAACCCTTTAACCCTTAAACCCTTAAACCCTTAAACCCCTAAACCCTTAAACCCCTAAACCCCTAAACCCCCAAACCCTTAAACCCTTAAACCCCTACACCCTTAAGCCCCACACCCTTAAGTTCCCAAACCCGCCCAAAACGAGCCTTGGCCAGGCTGACGCTGACCGCGGATGGCCAGAATCGAAAGCAGATCGGCGCCAATGGGGATCCGGTTCGCCGTCTCCTGAGTTCCCCGGGGTTCTTCGTAGGGAATGAGGGAACTAGGGCCCTACATGTACCCTTTGAAGGGATTACATAGGGTACCTCATTCCCTCATTCCCTATGAGGGAACTAGGGCCCTACATATACCCTTAAAAGGGATTACATAGGGTACCTCATTCCCTCATTCGCTGCGAAGGACCAGCCAGGCATCGTAGTAGTGTTTGCGTATCTCCTTTCTTGATGCAGACCCTAAACCCTAAACCCTAAACCCCAGAGCCTACAAGTTTCCCTCCGACGCCACCTCGGCCTAAGGCTTCAAGTACTACGTCACCCCCACGGTGGCCAAGGCAGTTCGGGCAGCAATATGTTCACCATAAGGGTGGTGGTCAAAACTATGGTCCCTTTTTGCATCACTCTTCTAACACGGCACCTAATGATTTAGGGTACCCCGAAAGGGATCATAATTTTGACAACCACCCATGAAGGTGTGAGCAGGGGATGCTTCAAATCGTTTCGAAATCTGGGTTCCCTGGTTTGGGTTGACAGCCCACTTGCAGGGTTTCGAGGTACGCTTATGGTCCTAGGTAGGATTAGGGGGACCCTTAAAGGGGAGCCCTTCTGAAACCTCTTCTGGCTCTCTTAAACAGGGACCACATTCAGAGGGTCTATATCCCCAAGGGTCCCCCTAATCCTATCCCCTATATGGTTGAGGATACCTGGCAGCTTCCAAACCACAGTCCCCAGGTGACACCCTCCTTCGGCTCCTCACGCGGTGGAACGATTGCCATCTACCCGGACGTTGTTGAGTGAGTCTCACTTGCGTTCACGACAGTAGAATGCAAAAATGTTCGAACTTGAAGGTCATGTCTGCATGCCCAAAACATGCCGCCCACTGTGGTCTCGTTTCAGCGCACTTTAGTATTTTCGACGGGCTTCGAAACAAGGAATGGTGACTGGGGACCTATGCCCCATCCCCTTCCTCAAAGAGAGCAACAAACTCTAAGAGGCGATCTTACCAGTAGCTGGTGAGTATTGGGTGGTCAGAGATTCCATGGCACGAAGATGCAACGGGCGGGTCAAAGTGACTGCCTCTGTCCCTAGCTCCGAACCTGAAACGCTACTTGGACCCTTAGTTACGGTTCCTTTGTTGGGGGGTGCCCAACCCTCCCTGAACCCTAAACCCTAAACCCTAAACTTAAACCCCAGACCCTAAACCCTAAAACCTAAACCCTAAAACCCTACTTCATGCCACGGCTTGGTATCATCTTGGATATGAGGTGCAGACCTCCTCACAGCAGGATCTGTAATTCAGGGTCCGGGGCTTCAAGCCCCCAGATTCGGAGCCGACAACTCCCTGAAAGGTTCAACCAGCGAGGGCTTCCTTGAAAAACCCTCAAACTCGAGGCCCTGCACCCTAAACCCTAAACCCTAAATCCTAAACCCTAAACCCTAAACCCTAAACCCTAAACCCTAAACCCTAAACCGGAAAGACGCAGAGTCCCTGTGAACCCCGACGGCCCCGAGCCCTAAGACCTTTGAACCCGTAAAGCCCATGAGCCCCATGTATCAACCCTAGTCGCATCATGAGCCCCTGTAAGCCCTATCAGAAACCCTAGAGTTAAGCCCTAAACCCTAAACCCTAAACCCTAAACCCTAAACCCTAAACCCTAGAAGTTTTCCTATAAGCCCCTAAACCCGTCAGGTTCAACTAGAGGGGGCGCACTTCATCAACGACGTGCGCTTGACCTGCAAGTTTGGCGAGCTCACGGTTCCGGCCACCGCCTCAGCAGTCCCTTTTTGTTTAGGTTCAGGGTTCAGGGTTTAGGGTTTAGGGTTTAGGGTTTAGGGTTTAGCGTTTAGGGTTTAGCGTTTAGGGTTTAGGGTTCAGGATGACGACCATGATCAGCTTGTCGGGGTTTTGGATGCTTTGAGGGTTGAAGGGTTTGGAGGATTTCAGGGTCGAAGGGCTTCACGATTTGGGGGTTTGGGGGTAGTGGCGCCTCACTGGTCCAACATGGCTTACATGGGCTCAATGTGGGACTGCAGGGTGCAGGTTGGCGTACCATGTTTTCGACTTTCGTCTATATCAAGAGGATGATGAAAATCATATTTTTATTAAGGTTCTAAGGGGAGTATAGTCGCGTTTTGTAGAACAAGGGGATGTCAGTTCTCTGCAGCCGGTATGCCGAGCACTGGCAAGCCGAGGCATTTCGGTTCATCTCAAGCGCGCTGGTGCTTTGCAGGCAGGATCCAGCGCAGCTGCTATCCCTGGTGTCTCAAATGATATTATAGGGTTTAGGGTTTGGGGTTTAGGGTTCAGGGGGTTTCAAAATCTGCACACATGGCTGTACACCTGGTTTGTAATTTTGACGCTACGCGACCCAAACCGGAGATCGCGAAGGTGCTGTTGGGCTTCATTTGATAGGCTTTCGCACAATCATTCCCTTGTGGGGATGCTGTTATGACAGGCTCGAAGGGCAAATAAGGAAGTAGGGGGAGAGGGGGGCGGCCGGGGGGGACGGCGGGTGGGGTGGGTCAGGGGGCTGGAGGGGATTAGAGGTGGGGTACCTGCTTTCCCCATACACCTATGGCCCAGGCCTCGGCGGATTAGAATACCTGACGTGGCATTGCTGGCAGGACACCAATTGTTCCCCCGGGCCGAGTGCAGGCTCAGAATACTTGGTTGACAGCACAGCGTTTGTGCCACGCATTTTGGTTAGCTTTCGTTGCCTGCTTTGCCTGGCACTCCAACTCTCTGTGAAAGCTGTATGCTCCTGGGAGGTGTATTTGTCCAATAATGGACAGAATTTCACGGCTCGGCCCTCATGGTCTTAAGAGACTATGGCGGCATTCCTATCAGCCTCTCGTGAAACCAGCGTGAGTGACAGGGGGGAAGCGATGCCGTCTTCGAGTTTTTGGGTGCCGGCCTTGTCTCTCAAGCTTCTTGGACCACGCGCTGCGAAGACTTGTGGCAGGCTTCACGTACTTCCATTTGTATCCGTACCTGGGGCCCATCAGTGGAAACACAACTGTGCCAGCCTCAATGTAAGGGCGGCGCTGCTTTCGTTGGCTGTTCGGCGCAGGTCAAACGAGCAGATTCCAGAACTGGATGCTTTTGAAGCCATAGGTGCTCGTGGAGTCCGCGTCTGTGCCAGTGGGTGCCTCCCCTTCGCCTGCCTCTCGGAAACACGGCCCCATGCGTACTTACCAAAAGCCCAGCCGCCGCGGATAACCTCAAAGAATGCTTTCATGAGACCTACGACACGCCTTGACCCAGGATCCGCTGCCGATTTGGCACTCTCACAGTCCCTGGCATCCGGGCTTCCGGCTGAGACTACGGGCGGTCGAGGGATGATTTCATGGACCAATGGAGGACTTTGCAGCATTGCAAGAAGCCCAGGTGAACGACACGTTCCTGCAGTGTGTATCTCCAGCCGCCCCCTGCTTGGCTTTGGCGCTGTTGCTTTCACAGCAGAGTTTTGCAGTTGCTAGACGTACTTCGGCCGTCAGCTAGCTGCACCTGGTGTTGCGCCTAGTCAGGTGGTGACTCCGGGCGAGGCAGGACACGCACTTGTGGCATCTGGATGGGCGCGGGGGTATAGTTTTATGTTTTGAACCCCCTTGTAGGTCCCCGTTGTCATCGGGTTCCATAAACTGTGGAAAAGTTCCCTCCCCAAGCATCGAACTTGTTGAGCTGTTGGGTCACACCCGCCCTGTGGCGCGGGTGTACTTTAAGGTTCACGTGTACCTAGACGTAGGGTTATATGTACATCTTCACCATATGTACACCCTACTTGTGACCCTACCAAATAAGTACACCGAGCCTCCAAGTAGGGTCGATGTCGGTACAGACAGTCTCGGGCCGGACAGGTGAAGTTCGAGGTGTCCTTGAACCAACAAGACTTCGTGGAGGCTGCAGCATCGCACGTTTAGGTTTAGGTCTCAGGGTTTAGGGGTTTAGGGTTTAGGGGTTTAGGGTTTAGGGTTTAGGGTTTAGGGTTTAGGGTTTAGGGTTTAGGGTTAGGAAGCAATGGAACACTCTGGTATGGGCGCCGACATCCGCCAGGGCTCACAGAAGTTCCTGTACTACACGAACCCGAGGACGCCGACGGCAGTTGGAGTGATGGTCCTGCGAGCTCAGTCTTCGAATCTACGCTTTAGTACCGTCGAGATAGGAGAGCCAAATGCCAAAGCACCCTACTACACCCCAGACTCTGAACCCTGAAGCCTCTAAACCCAAAGCCCTAACTCTAAACCCTGAACCCTAAACCCTAAGCCCTAAACCCTAAACCCTAAACTCTAAACCCTCAAACCCCAAACCCTAAACTCTAAACCTTCAAACCCCAACTGACTTTTGGGCTCTGGCCACCAGGATTCTGCAAGTAGATCCACCTCTGGGGCCGAGCCACCGGAGCCTGAGCATTCGGCTGATAGGCGGGGATAGGGGGTTTAGGGTTTAGGGTTTAGGGTTTAGGGTTTAGGGTTTAGGGTTTAGGGTTTTAGATCCACAGGTAGTTTCATGGGCCCTTAATATGCCCCCTAACCTCTTTGCTGTATGGGGTATATAAGGGCTACCCTTCTAAGGGCCCATACTCAGGGACCATGTAACTGCTCGTGGATTTATAGGATTTAGGTGTTTGTTTTTGGCTTGTAGGGGTTTAGGGTTTAGGGTTTAGGGTTTAGGGTTTAGGGTTTAGGGTTTAGGGTTTAGGGTCATCGTTGGTTTTCTCAGGGTTTAGGGTTCATAGAGTTTATTGGATTTATGATGGGGTTCATGGGGTTCGTAACGTGTTTGTCGGGCAAAGGGGTTTATACAGTTTATCGGGTTTAGAGGGCTTCGAGGATTTGGAGGTCGGGGGTTAGGTTTATAGGCTTTAGGGTTCGGAAGGTTTGGGGTTTATAGGGTTTGGGGGTTGTACGATTCAGGGCTTATAGGGTTTTGGATTTAGGCCTCCGCTTGTTAGATTTAAGGTTTAGCCTTTTGGCAAGTTGAGAGCGAAATTTCAATTATTGGGTTGAAGGGGTCTGTTTTGCTTAGGAGATTTTTCAAAGGGCGGTTCCCAGCAGTCGCAAAGGCAGAAGGGTTCTGCATCAAACATGCCATGGCCGGCAAAACTGTAGCACGAGGACAAATATCCATATCCGGAAATGATCGACCATGAAAACCCTAAACCCTAAACCCCCAACCCTAAACCCCAAACCGTCAACCCTCAACCCTCAACCCTGAAGTTGGGTCTCCCTGTGCTGAAAATTTTTCCAACCGATGGTGCTTCTTTCGCCCATCAGAGCGTTGGGTGCAAAACACCGGGGCCAGGATGAAGAGATCTGCATTGGGATGCTTCGCCCTTCTGCTAACGGCCCTTAGTAGGGATTGTAGTGCACCCTACTATAATGCAGGTTAAGGACGGTTCGTGTAAGGGGGAACATCCCAAGAATGTAGGAATGTGCAAGGATGAGGAAGAAGCACTGCAGGGAACTGGGAATCGTCTCAGACCCTAAACCCTACACCCTAAACCCTAAACCCTAAACCCTGAACCCTAAACCCTAAACCCTAAACCCTAAACCCTAAACTGCTTGGTCCTTCTTGGAGGCCAGGGCTTCATCAGCACCAACTACCTGACAGTGCGCTTCGGTGGTGCTTGGGGCTTACCGCCGTCTGCCACGGTATGCCAAAGACTCCAATACCTCTTAATTAAGGAAAGTTCCTTAAAGTATAAGAGGGTTCCTTATGCCACAGTATGTCTTCTCTTGGAACATTTGTCAACTTTTGTGGCCATGTTTGAAAAGTTGAGGTTGGGATTTTGATGAATTTTGTGTGAGTTTGTGCACACCTTCCACCCAAGTCCTGACACAGGACAACAGGCCAGAGTGCACACCTTTGCGAATACGCTATAGGCCCTAAGCTGTCCCTCAAGGGATCTAAAGGAGGGACCCTTATAAGGGACCTTAGGGGGCGTTTTGCGGTTTAGGGGCTACGGGACTCCGAACATAACCCGCAAGTAGTAGGATCCCGTTAGAATAAGCACCCCAATATTGTCCCAATATCGTAAGCCCCCATTCGGGGACTATATCTCCTTAACCCTAAACCCGAAACCCTAAACCCTAAACCCTAAGCCCATTTTTGCGGAGCTCAGGTGTCCATCGAAGCAACAGGCCAGCACTTGGTCCAAACGGCGCTGGCGGCAACCGACACGGAGGCACCCGAAACCCGAAACCCTCAGAAGCACCCCTAAGGGGTTTCCGAAAATAGGGTACCCCTTTTGGGGGGGGTCATTTTTTAAGGGGATTCTACTCTATTTGGGGTAAAAACAGGGGTACCCCTATTTTGGGAAGTACTGTACCTGGATCTTTTTTTTGCACACGACGACCTGCGGAAGCATTTTGCTGAGGCGGTTGTGGAGCTGCCGAGGATGTCGGTTCACACGGACATGACGCGGGTGCCGGTGCCTTAGGCACCTACCCCTCCCTTGGGGACGACATGAACCCTAAAATTGGGGTCATATACCCTGTACTACTATAACTCCTATTAAGGTATATGAACCCTAAACCCTTTTAGGGTTCATGTCGTCCCCAAGGTCCCAACTCTTGATGGCCTGGTGCTGTTGTTTGCGTGCTGGTATCCGTGACTTCCTGCTACCGAAAGGTCCTGCTGTAGAAGTTTCCTGCAGGCGGGTCGATACCAGTATGATCAGGGAGCGCACTAAGGCCGCTCTACATTTCCAACAACGGGCAGAACTATGCACCGGAAGGCGTGCGGGAGATCCGGGGAAGCCCAGCAACAGGTACTTGCACTCCTACTCCACACCCGACTTCCTGAAGCTTCCCCAAAAGGTTTAGGGTTTAGGGTAGCTTAGGGCTTTACAAACTACCCCTAAGCCCCTCCACCCCCTTGTAAATCAGGCGTTCTGCAATGGGACCAGGATGAAGATGCCGGGGTCTCAGAGATCCGGGTGGAGTGCTTAGAATCCTTTGCCTGATGGGCCATTTGGCGGCCCCAAAGCCAAGTCCAGTACGGACTTTATAGGGTTTAGGATCTTACAGGAGACCAGTATGGGCGGCTTCGTCAAAAAACTCCAGACTTCAGCCCTGGTGCATGTGGGTGGCTGCACGATGAGGCTCATGATGTGCCGAAGAGCATGGCCTACTTCACCTTCCATGAGAGCATCCTGCCTGGGGCTCAGACTTCAGCCCCCCATTTCTGAGCCAAAGCTAGCGGCCGAAAGCCGCCCTAAGAGCTTGATTCCTAAACCCCCCCGCCGCCCCCAGCCGCCCCGGCCCCCAACTCGAAACCCCCAAAATGTTCTCTCTTGACGTCCGGGTTCTTCGAACTCGTCAACTCGCACGAATCGAACCCCTTAGAAAGCTTGCCGCTTGCAACGTAAAGTTACATCTTACAGCTTCGAATTATTCATTTATGACTCATAACGCCCCAAACCCAACCCACCTGACATTACCGGCACAGGCTCCGCAACGTCGACCCAGAGGCGCGTGTCCTCCTCTAGAGGTTAAGGGAAGGGCCTTCAGGGAAGGTTTTAAGGGTTTTCAGGGCTTCAAGGGGTTTCGGAGGGATTGAAAATTGGGTAATCAACCCTAAGCCCTAAACCCGAAACCCTAAAATTTTCCCAGCAATTCAACACCGGACCCGGAGTCAAGCCGTGGCCGTGCTGAAGAAGAGTGGGACATGGCCCGGGCATGTTAGGGTTTAGGGTTTAGGGTTTAGGGTATAGGGTTTAGGGTTTAGGGTTTAGGGTTCCAACTGGCACATTCCGTCAGGTTGGAATGACGTATGGTGGAGGCTTCGTCTCGGTCTCGCTCCCAGATCCGTTCAGGAAGTGCAGGGTGCTACGACCCCATTCGGCCCCATCAGAAAACTCTGATGACGCCTCATCCAAATTTGCCCACTCACCAGAATTCAGCACCAGCAGCCGATTGACACAGCAGCCAAAGTGCCCTGGGGCGCGTGCACAGTTTCCAGCTTCATTGCCGCACCCGATTTCAGGCAGTTTGCGTTTCACGTGTCATTTCACCAACTCCAGGTTTTCGGCTACGGCTTCCTGAATTCCAGCGGTCTCAACTGCTCCTTTGAGTGGATTGGCCCGGGGCCAAGGCAGCAAGTCTCACATGCAAGTCCTACAAGAGTACGGTCGCTTTTGTTCCTACAAACTTTCAAAACTTTGAGGGAATTCTGCTTAAAAAGATTGCCTTGACAATGGCTTGAGAACGAGTCCCAGCACAAACCAGATAACTGCGATCTGCTTCAGAACCCTAAAAGAATAAAAAACAGTAATCCCCATATTACACTATATATGGAGGTTATGGAAGAAAATATTATATTTTTTGGGGGGTTCTTAAGCAATGACGAGTAATAATGGGTTACAATTCCGGCCCCCCAAAGATGATCCCCGGTATGACGTTTCTGAGCTCCTTTTTTGCAGGGTTTGATGTAGCCAAATAAGCCCACCCTCCAAGAATGTGGAGAATCCCTTGGGATGTTCCCCCTTACACTAACAGGCCTTACTAGGGATTGTACTAGGGAGTACTAGAATCCCTATTAAGGACTGTTAGCAGAACATTGCGCATCCCAAGCAACCCTCATACACCCTGCATTCCGAAGCATCTGAGGCTCCCCATCGGTGGTTTACATCTCCTCCACGCAGATCATGTGCGAGGCGTGGTTCCAGTCGCACGGGTGGTTAGGGCTTCGGTAGGGTTTTAGGGTTTAGGGTTTAGGGTTTAGGGTTTAGGGTTTAGGGTTTAGGGTTTAGGCCTCATGGGGTTCATGGTTCGCACATGTTTCCAGACCTGGACCAGCCTGAACCCGGTATTCCCTGTTCAAAACCTAAGCCCTGAACACCCTAAGAAAGCCCTATAAGACGCCCATAGGCCCTAGACCCTGAGCCCTATACGCCCTAAACCCCCCCCAAAATGCCCTAAGCTCATGGATAGCTGCGGCACTTGGAGGCTCATGGTTTCTGGTTCTAAGTAGGGGCAGCTCTTGTTATGTGAGCTTTTTAGGGTAGCTTCGAACCCTTCTTAGAAGCAACCCCAAACCCCAAACCCTAAACCCTAAACCCCAAACCCTAAACCCTAAACCCTAAACCCTAAACCCGTAAACCCGTAAACCCGTAAACCCATGAACCTCCAAGCAGGTTCCGAACATGCTGGCCGCGCGGTCCAGCAAGGCAGCGCCGCTGGAGAGCTTCACTAGGGTTTAGGGTTTAGGGTTTAGGGTTTAGGGTTTAGGGTTTGGGGTTTAGGGTTTAGGGTTTAGGGATACTTGTCAGGTTAGACTTCTTAGGCCGGTCTTGTACAGGGTTGTAGGGTGTCTAGGTTTGATTTTGGGCTCTACAGGGTATATGGAGTTTGTCAGGTGTATAGGGTTTCAGGGTTTATAAGAGTTTTTTAGGGTTTGGAGAGTTTCATAGGCATTTATAGGGTTCAAAGGTTTAGGGCGTCAAAAGCGTTGTGAACTTGCCACCAGGCTCTGGGCTTTGCAACGCTGCGCGTCACCTTGAACAACCGCGACTGGCTGGAGCCTGCATGATTTGGGCACGGCTGAGTCCTTGGGAGGTGTAAAACCCGAAGCCCTAAACCTCAGGATGGTTCCCCCGTAGACTAGCAGTCCTTAATAGGGATTCTAGTACCCCTATTGTAATCCCCATTAAGGACTGTGTGTAGAAGGGGGAACATCCCAACCTAAAGCCTAAACCCCAAACCGTTTGGCTTTTGGGGGGGCTGAGGGAGCAGGGGCTGGAGCTGCCAGCCCTGCCTTTTTTCTCGCCAGGTCGCGGACCAGCTTGTCTTTCCGATTCTTGGGCCCGGGGGCCTGGAGGAAAGTGGCTTAGAGTCTGAGGTCTAAGGGTTTAGGGTTTAGGGTTTAGGGTTTAGGGCTGAGATAGTTAGGGGGTGTGCATGTGCAGAGGTTGCGCTCTAGAGGTAGTTTGCAGGTGTTACGGGATGGAAGAGTGCCGTAAGAGGGACATCCTTCACAAAAAATGAAAACCTGCTTTCTGGTTATTCAGGGAGGACTGGTAGTTTGAGCAACTACCACGTGATGATTTTTGGAGAGCTTCTGCGTCGCCTGAGAATGCTTTGGTAGATATCGCAAAACACCGCATCTGGTCCTTGTTTGCAGTTGACTTCGAGTGTGAAGTCTGACCTCAAGTGCATGGCTTGAGGTGAATGCCCCATCGCTCATTACTGCCAGCACAAGGCATTCAACGAGTTCCGTCCTCAGCAAGACTTCGGCACACAGGCACACACACATGTCAAGCTTCAAGTTTCTTCCCAAAAGGCCTACCCGAAACCCTAAACCCCAAAGGTACACATTCCGGATATTGCCATGCCCGGCTGGACACTTCTGCGAGAGTGCAGGGATGAGCCCCCTCCTCAGCTTGTTCGGCATGGCTCTTCCTGTCCCTACACCCCAAGCCCTAAACCCTAAACCCTAAACCCTAGACCCTAAACCCTAAACCCTAAACCCTAAACCCTAAACCCTAAACCCTAAAGCCTGCATGTACCAGAACAGCTGCTCCAGGCGTGCCGACCCCTTGTCCACCAGGCATGCCGGGATCGGTGCGCATGGTGACGCATAACATGTGATGGCAGAACGTTTAGGGCTTAGGGTTTAGGGTTCAGGGTTTAGGGTTTAGGGTTTAGGGTGAGGGTCAGGGTTCATTTACTTGAAGGTTCATGCATACTTATGATTAGTAGTAGCAGGGTGGCTATACTCTTGACTTTAGTTAGGGTACTTTATAACTCTACTTGTAAGTACCCATCAACCTTCAAGTAGAGTTTAGGGTTGGAATGCCGCATGAGCTTCTCGATCATGTCTAGTCCTGCGCCAGGCACCTACATGCCGTACAGACGCCAGGCAGGACCATGCTCCCGATTCCCAACCTAGGGAACACCCAACCAAAGAGTTGCTTCCGGGAATGGCCGAAACCCTAAACCCTAAACCCTAAACCACCCTAAACCCTAAACCACCCTAAACCCTAAACCACCCTAAACCCTAATACTGGTAAGAAAAAGTAGGGAGCCCTTTCTGCAGCTCTGGGTTGGGCTTTTGGAACAAAACCACCCCCCGATTCCCACAGGCCAACAGTAAATCCCTTGTGACAGGTCCAGTGCCAGTTGTGTCCCATCGGCTTCTGGTGCACTTGCCTCGGCTGGACTCGCCCTAAACCCTAAACCCTAAACCCTAAACCCGAAACCCGAAACCCTAAACCCTGGCATGCTTCGACCGCATGTGCTGAAAGCTTCACTAAGTGCCTGTGTTCATATGGCTTGCTCAGTTGAAATAGGAGGCACGTCGGGGACAGGCTGTTCTCCTAGTTGTGGGCAGCAAGTCGCAAGTTCTATATGTCTATATGTCGGTATATGTATACACGGACACACAAGAACGGGTATACACATATGCACAAGTTTCTTTACGCACATGTCTATGCATATGTACATTTATGTCTATGTGTGTGTATATATAGATTGATGTATGTGCATAGATATGTATATGCCGACGAAAACTGATGTAAATCAATACGATCCTGCATCCAAAGTCGTCAGCCCTACATCCTGTAGCCTTACGCCATAAAGCCTGGCATATCCTAAGTCGTAGGCCCTAAACCCTAAACCCTAAACCCTAAACCCTAAACCCTAAACCCTAAACCCTAAACCCTAAACCCTGAGCCGCTGAGGCCCTCGCTCTCGCATGTTCCAGCCCATCACCTGTCGGAGAGGGTGGGTCTGCGACGAGCCAGGCACGCTGGTCGTACCTTTTGGGGGGGGGGGGGGGGGGGCCCTGATTCCTAAACCCTAAGCCCTAAACCCCAAACCCTAAACCCTTAGCCCAAAACCACCTGGCCAAAAAAAGGGTACTCCCATTGAGGAAAACATGCATGTCCTGGGTTTAAGGGCTGGCTGAGGGATTACGGTGGGTTTAGGCTCAACAGATGTTGTGACACCAATGCGTCTTGGTGGAGGTATTGGTGGAGCAGCCGCAAATGTATCAAGGATCAAAGCTGCGGTTGCAGCCCCACCTTGGAAAGCATGAATAGAGCCCACCTAAGCATGCCGGCCGGTCCCCAATGGCCCCAATAGGGTTTCCTCTAATGTGGCTCCTCTGGACGTGTCAGGCCTAGTTGTCCCATACAAGCGCTGTCCTGCCGGCTACTACTGCTGGCAGCTCAGATGTTTTTTGATTCGCTGCTCATCACAAGCCAACTTTCACCCCAACCCATCCCTAGAGTGCAAAGAAATTAGGAGCTTTGGACTCCTCAGCCAAGTGTTTTCTTCGAGTTCACGGATTTGTCTGACATGTTTGGCGGAATCTCCCAATGGCACCCGATGCCCTGCTCCAAGCCAAGGCGAAGAGGGTGTCGCCACACGTCTCTCACGCAGCACGCCCTGGTCTTAGCGGGCCGTAGGGGTCGTGTCAGTCCCTGGGGGCCCTCTGATCCCAAGCGATTCTAAACCTAAACGCTAAACCCGATGGACCTGATGGATCCTAAACACCCTGCCTGGCTGTGCAGCCTCCGTAGACGACATGATGGAAGAAGAATGGCATGAAATGATGAAATTCACGGGCGCTGGACCGTTCACGTACAACTTCTCGACGCACGTGTGCATCGTTGCAATGTACTCGTATCTGCTTCCCACAGAGCCCCCCTTCCAAACTCCCCAAAGCCCCAGGCTGTACCTGAACCAGCGCAAGCCCAAGCCCTGCTGCGGCCTCATAGTGCCTGCTCAGCTCAGGGGCTAACTTGCTTCCAGAACGCATTGAATGGGCAGATGATGCTTGACATGCTGTCACGTCCGTTTGTACTCATGGCCCCGTGCCCCAACAAAGTCGGTCTTGTAGATCGGACTAGCTGGTACGGCTTGACTTCTATGTAGATTCGCTACGCCAGGCCTCGCTCCTCGAAACGCAGCTTTGCACTAGATACGCCTCCTGCATGAGACCGGAATACCCAGCCTGTTGGGAGCTGCACTTCTGGTACCCCCCGCCCCAGCCCCTTTCGATGCAGAACTCGGAACAATCCGCGGACGCTCAGTAAATTATGGTATGGTATGATATGAGAGATTATTGCCTTTAATATGTACTGGACAGTATACATATATACATACATATATATATATATATATAGATGTAGATGTATGTATATACATACACACTTATATATATGTACATACATACATACACATACATATAAATAAATATACGGGTTAGAGACTACCGATACTTTGAGAACCCCAGGTCCGCCGGGCCTCCACTGCTTCGAGGGAGCCCAGGCGCAGAATCCGAAGCCAAAGAACTACTCGACGCCGCAGCCTTGCTTCCAAGGCCCGGATGATGGGGGGGGGGGAAGGGAAGAGAAATAATTACTCCCTGGACCCTATAACCCTATAACCCTATAACCCTAAACCCCAAACCCTAAACCCCATATGCCCTAAACCCGGGATGTTCATGGTTTTCAAGTTTGCCATCCGCGCTGCGCTGCCCCTGCTCGGCTCAGAAAGCCTGGCACGTGCCAACTGGGAGGCCAGGAACTCCTTTGGGCTATCTTTAGGGTGTCGGCTTTCAGTCTCAGGGTTTACCTGGACCTTTCGTTGTAGTTCCCCATGCATAAATATTTAATACCACCTAACGGAGTAACCTGAAGAAGGGAACTGCAAGCAGGGGTCCAGGGGTTGGGCTTGGAGTCGATCATGGCGCGGCGGCTGCTGCAGCTCCAGCATCCCGGTAGAGAGCAGGTGAGGCAAGCCCTGGGACCGCAGCTACAGTCCTGGCGTCGGAACCTTGGTAGCCCAGTGGTACCCGTTACCCCTTTTTTTTTGTGGTTCTGGGTTCCCTTATAAAGTAACCAACCAAAAAAAGGGCCCGTATTGTAATATGGTGACAGTGACTTTGCTACTAAGGAATCCTAAAGCCGGTGTCCAGGTTCTACAGGAGCTCAAGTTCGAGAAGCGAGCGGATCTTGTCTGCCAGGTCATGGACCTCCTCGAGGAAGAGAAGATGAAGCTCAGCCCCGCGCACTTCGTGACGACGATTCTGGCCTGCGCCGCGGCGAAGTGGTGGCAGAAGGCGTTGGAAACCTTTCAGTCGATTTCAAGACACCAGCTCACTCTCCACGTCCTCAGCTACAACGCCACCATCAGTGCTTGCGAGAAGGCCAAGCAATGGCAATGGTCCTTGCACCTCTTCAACTCCATGCCCGAGGCCAAGATTGCACGAAACACTGCCAGCTACAATGCAACAATCAGCTCCTGTGAGAAAGGGGGACGCTGGGAATTGGCCCTGAGACTCTTCCATTCAATGCCTTCAAGAACCCCTCCAAGTCTGATCAGCTACAGTGCCGCCATCAGTGCTTGCGAGAAGGGTGGGCAGTGGCACATTGCTCTGCAGCTTTTTCACAGAATGCCCCAGACCATCCCACCCGACCGCATCATCTGCAACGCGGTCATCAGTGCCTGCGAGAAGGGCCTCCAGTGGCAGCACGCCTTGCATCTCCTCAACTCTATGCCAAGAGCTCAACTTCAACCCAACATCATCACATACAGTGCCACCATCAGTGCCTGTGAGAAAGCAGGGCAATGGCAAGTAGCCACCTATCTGCTCAGCACCATGCCGAAGGCCAAGGTGACTCCAAGCGTTGTGAGCTACAGTGCGACGATCAGTGCTTGCGAGAAGGGGCACCAGTGGCTCTTGGCACTTAGGCTTTTCGATAGATTGCCACAAGCAAGCATTGCTCCCGATGCCATCGCGTACAACGCTACGATTAGCTCGTGCGAGAAGGGGGGCCAGTGGGCACTGGCTCTTCATATCCTAAGTTCCATGCCTGAAGCCCACGTCGCGGCCAACGTGATCAGCTACACCGCAACCATCGGCTCCTGTGAGAAGAGCGGGCGCTGGCAAATGGCCTTGTCGCTCTTTTCTGCGATGCAGGGAAGTAGGCTTATACCAAACAGCACGACCTACAATACCACCATCAGTGCGTGCGGGATCGGTGGGCAGTGGCAGCGAGCCTTGCAACTCTTTGAGGCGATGCCCCATGCCAGAATTCCCCCAGATCGCATAAGCTATAAGGCTGCGATCAGTGCCTGCGAAGTGGCCGGACAGCGAGATCTGGCGCTCCGATTGCTTAAGTCTGCCATGGACGACTCCGAAGCTGTCGGCTGCAATGCAACAAGTTAACAAGAGGCCGTTCTGACTAAGGATTCTCCTTGGCACTGTTGTCCTCTTCTTTGTGCTTTTTTAGAAGGCATGCGAACCTGGCAATCTGCATGACTCCACTGCAAAAGTGGACCTCTTTTCTTCAGCGATTGTGAAAGGCTCCGGAAGTGTAAGCTGTTCAGCCGACCATGCATTCGGCTAGCAAGTCGCGGCATGTGAGCACATGCTTGAGCAAAACCGATGCGCTTGATCCAGACGAATGTTGTTCTTGATGAGGTCGTCGACTGGAGTCTCAGCCCTCAGCAGAATTCTCTGACCCTGCGAAGGCTTCTTCTGCCCTCCCGCAAGCGACTCTCCCTACGGAGCCGGGGCATGCCCGCTGGGGTGAGGGCCTCAGTTTGTGGGAGGTCAGACATGGTGAGCAGAAGAGCGACGTGCGGGCCTCATGGTTGTAAAGCTAAACCCTAAACCCTAAACCCTAAACCCTAAACCCCAAACCCCCTTTGTGGGTTTTGTAGCCCAGTGGCTCTGAGCTCTGGGGAGTCGCCATGCTAAGGAAGTACTGCCCCACACCTCGCCACACTGGCTGCGAACTTGGCAAAGCTGCTGTGCTTGTCCCCCTGGCTTCATGCCCACGTCTTGTCCATCATCGACATGATGCAACCCAAGGAATCGTGTGCCCCGAGCGCTACATGCCTGGGACTCAACTTCTGGCCCAGTGTCGGCGTTCCGTGGCTGCCATCTGACCCCGACTTGCTGGCTTGCGAGTCAGGTGCGGCCCGTACCCGGGAAACACGGAGCCCGCCGCATGTCCGGCAGGCTGGCAGAGAGGTACAGTACCTTACAACTGGCTCGACTACTCTGGAGTAGAAGCACCTAGTTGCAAGAGGAACTTCTACTTAAGTCGTCGTGCCATAGTTTGTAGCTAGACTAGGCTCGACCTTTGACCACTCCTTGCAAGCTGCAATTGCAAGTACGAGGAACCGCTTCACGTAGAGAAGGCGCCCTTTCCCGGCACTCGATTCACAACACAGTCAGGTTTAGGGTTTAGGGTTCAGGGTTTAGGGTTTAGGGTTTAGGGTTTGCGGCCAGGCTCCTTCAACCCCTGGCTCGGACAATGGAACTGCACAGTTTGTCTGGAAGGAGGTGTTTGTCTGAACCTGAGTTGGCAGACTTCGGTTTAGGGTTTAGGGTTTAGGGTTTAGGGTTTAGGGATGTGCTGGTAACCTCCGGTACGCAAGCCGCTGAAAGACACCCCGCAGAGCATCTGTCAAGGTCCGAGGAGTCGCATGCGCCTTCCCCTCCCTTGTCCCTGTGGCTACGAGTGCAGTCCACGCCTTGGTTAGGGTTTAGGGTTTAGGGTTTAGGGTTTTGGGTTTTGGGTTTAGGGTTTAGGGTTTAGGGTTTAGGGTTTAGGGTTTAGGGTTTAGGGTTCAGGGTTCAGGGTTCAGGGTTTGGGGTTTGGGGTTTGGGGTTTGGGGTTTGGGTAGGCTTGGGTTGGACTTCTGGGGGGCTTATGTACCTTCTATCTCTCCGCTCCCGGACTCCTCAGCAACCAACCGGTTTAGCCATCATTAAGGCCCACAAGCCCCCGATTCGTCCTCAACCCTGTAAACGCTAAGCTGTATAACCCTAAGCGCCCTACACACCCTGCCGGCCCTAGATGTTAAAACCCCGTAGACCCTAAAGCCGTAATCCCCATAAACGCCATAAACCCCATAAATCTCATAAGCCCCATAAACCCCCATGTGCCCTGACGCAACTTAAAGCCCGCAAACCCGAAAGAGAAGAACCAAGCAAATCTCAAGCCACCTCTACACACTAACCCTCCCAGCTTCCGTGGCCCCAAAGGCCCTGAACCCTGAGTTTAGGGTTCAGGGTTTATGGGTTTAGGGTTTGGGGTTTAGGGCTTTAGGGCTTTAGGGCTTCAGGGCTTTAGGGCTTTAGGGCCTCTGATAGCCGTGACGGCCCACGAGGCGGTCGGGGTCGGCAGCGGGCCTCCGACCTCTGCCCCGCCGGCCTCATGTGCGAGGAAGGGGTCCGGGCCCGATTCTTTAAGCAGGGTTGTAGAAGTACCCCAAATAAGGTCCCAACCGTAGCTACCCTACTTCTAACATTACATACAAGTACCCTTTCCTACCTTGGAGGAGGGGCTTTGAAGTTCAGGGGTGAGGCAGGCTCAGTTTCTCCGAGCGTAGAGGTGACGAAAGGCTTGGGATAGTTGAGAGGTTCGTGGCTATCTTGAGACTCAGAATCAGCAGCATCATCATCAAGCTCATAGTGGCTTGTTTTGCCCATGACACTCAGAATGTCGTCTCTAGGACTCTTCTACAAGAGATTGCGCCATACAACAGATCTTTATCTGTATGTGTATATATATATATATATAGAGCATATGTAAAATAGCATGTAATGTAAATAACAGAAACATGATATATATATATATATATATATTATATCTATACATACACACACATACACTCTCTCTACATACATATAAATACTATGCATACTGCACATTATTTCATATCCTATCGTACTGAAGTATCGAATCCTGTTCACCAAGTATTAGAGAGCATACGATATGTATTTATATCATTCGTATATGTTCAACCTGAGTCGTTGTATGGATACACACATATATATATATATACACACATATATTGCATACATTGCATATATTGGATGCTAAACATGGCATATTATATTTTCTTCAATTACATTGTGCTTTTGAATATCGTATATTAAATGCTATGTGATCTCATATTCAATGCTAGCAGCCTATGTCTCTTAATCAAGGTCGCCACGGCAATCGAGCCGCAGCTCTGTGAGCCGAAGACCTTTGATATCCGAGTCGACACCAGCCACGCGCTTAGGTGAGTCTGAGTTTAGGGCCTAGGGTGTATGGTGGGCATGTACCTTCGATTCAGGCGGAAGACTAAATCCTATCCAACGTCATGAGAGGAGGGGAGAGAGAGAGAGAGAGAGAGAGTGAGAGATAGGGCAATTGCCTTCACTGTGTTGTTATGAGAGGTGGAAGTGTGTGACACCAACATACAGGGGGAAGTTTCACGCGATAGGCCAAACACTCGGGGGCACGAGCTAACTGCGCTCACTGATGGACGAAGTGCCAAACCGAGTAAGCGCCTACCCTAATGGTGGCAACAGACCTGACTCACCCTCGGGCGCGCCTCGAGCGCGGGGGGTCACCCCTATGCCCAGAAGAAGAAGAAGAAGAAGAAGAAGAAGAAGAAGAAGAACAAGAAGAAGAGAGTGAGAGAGAGAGAGAGAGACACGTGTGGGGTAGGGGTCGAGAGTCAACGGTCTTGTGCTCCCTCTCCTCCAACCGCCCCAACCGGAGGCGCCCCGAATACCGGGGCGGGCGAGGACGCCCGGGGGTTCGCCCCCATGCCCCCAAGAAACAAAGAAAGAAATAGACACAACAAAAGAGATAGACAAATCAACCATGCCATATATTGTCCGGATAGTTGGGTGGTCTGGCTGGAGGAATCGTAAATGGCCTTTCCGCCCAAAAGACCCTGCCTTGTGATGTCTAGCGCAAGTAGATGCACGATGAACAGCAATATGCGCCCGCTTCGGCGTCCAGAAAGCAGGTTGCCAAAGACCTTGCCAACATCTTATGTGGAAGCCTTCCACCCTCGGTTAGAAAACTACATGTCGTGCAGGGACACTTCACACTTGTGTCCGTTGTTCAGCCTAGTTGCTCCGCATTCGTTTAGGACCCCCGACGGCTGTAGAAGCAACGATGTGACAGTCGAAACTAACGCAATGCATGCATGGATCAAGGAGCTGACGCTTGTCACCACCTGTGCTCGAGGCTTGCAGCGCGAGCGGGAGAAGATCTGCGTCTATGGCATCGGACAGCAGTTCGTGGAATACCAGAGGCATGTGTGTGTGTGTGTGTGTCCGATGTTCGTAAACCAGAAGAGGAGGAAGAATATTTAATCTGTGTGAAGGGAAGAAGAAATAGCGGACAAAGAACAAAAGGAGATGAAACTGTTTCGCCACAAAAACTCCACCAGTAGAGCTTGGGCTCCAGTGTTTCGTAGGTTGAGCACTCCCAATCCACTGAAACCCGAATTCATCTGGGAGTTTCCGGAAAAAGGGACCCCTAATATAGATCCCCATAGAGTAGGATTCCCATAGTTATGGTACCCCTAATGTCGGAAACCTCCATCTCCATCTCCAGACCCTGGGAGAAGGAGTGGAGCTGTAGTGCACTGTACGTCGAAGAAGACAGAGCATGTAAGTCACAACGGCCTCATTCTTCTGAAGTTGCGAAAAGGAGATGAGAGTGATGGCTTTTAGGGTTTAGGGTTTAGGGTTTAGGGTTTAGGGTTTTATCGTGATCCGTCTTTCCCCAGCACCCTAGGCCCCCTTGAGCCAAAAAAGCTCGAGGCTGCTCACGGTCCCCCGAGTGGCGAATCGTTTCGGCTGGTCGCAGGACCAGGCGCTAAACCCTAAACCCTAAACCCTAAACCCTGGAGTTTGGGGGGTTTTGGGGTTCTGGCACTTCGGGTTTAGAGACTTCTGTGGTCCCAGGAAGAGTGCGCTTGGAGTCTCGGTTTAGAGGTTTCTGGGCCTGAGTTCTGTTTGTGTGGTCGGCGGACAGGTCGGTGTGAGATTTGAGGGAGAACCCTACTGTAAACCCTAAACCCTATAACCCTATAACCCTATAACCCTATAACCCTATAACCCTATAACCCTATAACCCTATAACCCTATAACCCTATAACCCTATAACCCTATAACCCTATAACCCTATACACCCTATACACCCTGAACCCTTCCCACGACTGCCTCAAGGCTATTTTTTTGGGAGCCATCCCCAGCCACGACCCTTAGTGTAATTCCAAGCCATAGCCTGAAGTGCAGGGATGATTTCCTGCATGGAGGGTTTAGGGTTTAGGGTTTAGGGTTTGGGGTTTAGGGTTTAGGGCTTAGGGTTTAGGGTTTAGGGCTTGGGGTTCAGGGTTTATGGTTTGGGGGGGTCCCTGTGAGTACTTCCACGATAAGTGCCCTAAGCCCTGAACCCTAAACCCCGAACCCCTAAACCCCAAACCCTAAACCCTAAACCCTGAACCCTAAACCCTAAACCCTAAACCACTCTGGGCCCACCGGAGCACTCGGTCCCTTAACCCTCCTTCGCGCAGTTCGTGAATGGAACCTTGGTGGGACGCGCAGCCTGTTGCTGGTCGTCCGCCGCCTCGGTGCTCTGTGTGGTCCTGGCTTGAAGGGTTTGTTTAGGGTTTAGGGTTTAGGGTCTAGGGTCTAGGGTCTAGGGTTTAGGGTTTAGGGTTTGGGGTTTGGGGTTTGGGGTTGGGGGTTGGGGGTTGGGGGTTTGGGGTTTGGGGTTCAGGGTTCAGGGTTTAGGGTTTGGGGTTTGAAGGGCATTTCAGTTCCTCAAAGATCCTGCGCCCCTTCCGCAGAAGTTTCCGGCAGCGCGCTTCGAGACTTTCAGGGACTACTGCAGTAGATTCAGGGCTTGCAAGCTGCCATGAGCACGATTCAGAGGACGAATCCGAGTAACGCCGGACATTTCGGCTTTCTGGCTCGTTCAAGAATTCTCCAGTGCTGGGTTTTACTGCCCATAAACCCTAAACCCCTAACCCTAAACCCTAAACCAAGGCCGGAAAGGCTGCAGTCCTCATTCGACGCCATCTCGGCCGATTTCAAGACCGCGAATGCTCGCGCCTTAGAAATGCCTACCTTGATTTGGCTCTTAGGCCTTAACATCCCCATAATAGGGCCTTTTAAGGGTCCCCATAATGAACCCTATAAAGGGCCCTTTAAGGGATTATAGGGTATGATAGCCCATCCTGGTAGGAAGGCTTGCGCAAGGTGTGGGCGCAAAAAGTTTCGGGTTCGTCATTAGGGTTGCGTTTTCACAGGAGGGGGGCACTGGACTTGCCCATGAGCTACGGGCTTTCGAGGGCTTTCGATTGCAACTCTGGCTCAAGGCCGATTCTTTGGCGATGTGCGCCACCTTTTGTCGAAAAGCCCCGTGCCAGGACACGCTCTCTGCAAGAAGTTTTGCTCGGCTTTCCAGCGAGATCCGCATGCGTGCGGCGCCGAAGTTTTGGAATTTCCGCAGGCTTCATGTGCCACCACAAGTAGCGTCTTCGTTGATTAATGGCGCCTTAAAGCGCCTTCATACATGCTGCTCTGATGCAAGTCAGATCGAGGGTGCGAACCCTTGAAGTCCCCCCCCCCCCCCCATAGCCTATCAACATCCTGCTGTAGGTGCTGAGTAGGCCAGCAGCCTCTTTTCAGTTTCTGCGTTTGCTGTGTAGGTTGATGTGATCAGGTACGGCCGCCGAGCGCGACCTGGACTTCCAATCGCCAGGCCCCGGACGCGTATCCTGAGCTGTCGCATAGGATGCGCAAGATCAGAAAGCACCTTCATGTGGCGTGTGGCCCACCGGACGTCTTGTCCGCACGGATGTCTGGCAGCATCAGCATGGCAGGTAATTGGGTCTTGAAGCTAGGGCTTCTTCTCCTCCATCCTGAATTGACGGAGTTTGCGTGCAGGTTTTGATGGCCTGACCCTCCTCAACATAACGGACGACCAATTCCGTGAGGACCTGGTCATCCTCTTCCCCAAGGCACCACGGTGCCCTTCATAGTCTGTAGTCTGTATTGTCTAGTACTATATACCCCCCTTGGGAATTATTTTTGCTTATTGTTTATATAAAACTCAAGAGGAGATTCAAAACAGTGATGCCACAAGCACCATGAGTGCCGAACATGGCCCTGAGCAGCTCAGGATAGGCAGAGCGTGTGAAGACATGCATTCACAGGCACGGTCCTTTCTCCACCACTACATTGAGAAGCCCTGGCCTTAGCTGAAGTGGGAGTAAGGAGCCTCCTCAACCCTAAGCCCTAAAGCCCTTCAGCCCTGACAACCTTCAAACCCTAGAAACCGTTAAGTGCATACCCCTAAACCGACTTAAGCCCACTAAACTTAAGGACTTAAGGCCTAAACCTAAACCCGAGTCCTGAGGCTCTGGAACTTCAAGCGCCCATTGTCGCGGCCTCATTCGCTGCGTTGTGCCCATTGTGCCCATTGTGCCCATTGTGTCAAATTTGTGCGTACGTGCTTGCTGCCGTGCGTGCGTGCGCGCGTGCGTTCGACCTTGAAATCGGAAACCACACCAACGTCCTGAGACCTGTTGCCACCAGGCCCTGTCCTGCTGGCGCCTACTGCAATGCGGGCACGTGCCGGGCGCCCAAGTCGTCATGTGAGAAACGGAGTCTACGAGCTTGCGTGCCTGGGTTTTTGCAGCTTTGCAAAGCAGCACATACCGACTGGAAACTGGCTTCGTTCATCTTCATTTAGATGGCAAGGCCTGGTGTGGGCTTTTCCAGCCACAAAGTGACAACCTGGGCTATCAAGAACCGCTCCGCCCGACAACACGCGGGGGTTCTGACGGATGTCTACAAATCTTACTCATATTGGGGTACGCGGAGGGTATTGCGAAAGTAATTGCTTTCTTTCAAGTGGCTTGCATTGCCTTCCCCGATTTTACTTGATGCCCCGACTTTGAGGTCTGTTGCAAGTCATGCAAGATGCCCGTGCCTGCCAGATCACACATCCTAAACCCTAAAAACTAAAATCCCTAAACCCTAAACCCTAAACCCTAAACCCTAAACCCTAAACCCTACATTCTGTCAGCTGCCCACCTTCAAGCTGAGGCCCACGGTACCTGCTCACAGGAATTGTGGACGTGGACTTCGATCGGCCCAGCGATGCCTTCCAAGAGGCAAGGAGGCTCGCAGAGGCCCACTACACGAAGAAGCTCCAGGAAGTCTGCCCGAAGCTCAGGATGCCTGGGTTTAGGGTTTAGGGTTTAGGGCCTAGGGTTTAGGGTTTAGGGTTTAGGGTTTAGGGTTTAGGGTTTAGGGTTTAGGGTAAGAAGCTCCAGGAAGTCTGCCCAAAGCTCAGGAGGCCGAAGCAGCTCTTAGATGCTGGATTGGGGTGGGGCTTTTGCCAGAATGCGCTTCGGCAAGACTCTGCCTCTGCTAAGTCTACAACCGTACCTGGAACATCACCATTCCGCCGGACGTGGAGCAAGGCGGGGGATGTGATGAACCCTTGGCCCCTGAAGCCTGGAGCCTCCTTGCAGACAAGGGGCACCCTGTCAGCATCGGCCCTAAACCGTATAAACCCTGAACCGTAACCCCAAACCCCAAACCCCAAACCCCAAACCCCAAACCCCAAACCCCAAACCCCAAACCCCAAACCCCAAACCCCAAACCCCAAACCCCAAACCCCAAACCCCAAACCCCAAACCCCAAACCCCAAACCCTGTTCTGGCGCTCTTCTGTGCCGCAGGGGCGGAGACGGGAGGCCATGCAAACCACTCGAACGACTCGACCTGGTCGCCCTTCAATCGCACAGACAGGTGCGCGTGGGCGTAGCATCTACAAGGGAGATGACGGGAGTCCTATACATGGGTCCCTAATATGTATATATATATATATGTATATGTATATATATATATATGTATATATATATGTATACATATACATATATATACTTGTTATTAATAGTCGTATGATTTGTGATATCACGTTTATTAGTCTTACAACATTCAACAGTCAGGCTGAGCGGTGACCTGGCCTTGAGCCTCCAGCCTCCAGTCTTTTGCCGAGCAGGGTTTAGGGTTTTAGGGTTTTAGGGTTTTAGGGTTTTAGGGTTTTAGGGTTTTAGGGTTTTAGGGTTTTAGGGTTTTAGGGTTTTAGGGTTTTAGGGTTTTAGGGTTTTAGGGTTTTAGGGTTTTAGGGTTTAGGGTTTAGGGTTTTAGGGTTGAAGCTTCAACATGTCGGCACAGGTGGGACAAGCCATCCGATTGCTTCGACAAGAATGAGTCGAACGAGACGGACCTGCAAGGATTCAAGGAAAGGAGAGCTACGCCGACACAGGCCATCGCATCGCGTTGGAATGGACTCATTGGCCATGCCTTCTGTGTTCTTGCTTTTGCTATGGAGGACAGAGACTTCGAGCACTTCCGCATTCTGAATGAGTGCGCCCAATAGTCGTCAACCACCGGAGACCGGTGGTTCAGTGCGTCAGAGATGGGGGTTGGGAGTAGCCGCAGCAGGCAGCGCATGCTTTCCGGGCATGCGTTGTTGTTGGTGTAAAGCCACAGCTGAAGACTCGACAGCTTAACAATGGGTCCCCTGAGCATCCTGGTACTACAGTGGCCGGAATAACTACTCGTTCATGTAGTATTCCCTTATGGTCCCTATAGACTTATGCTGTAACAACCCCCCAAACCCTATTCTAGTTATTAAGGCCCCTACATAAGGTTCCAGCAGATGCCCACTGAAACACTGGGTGCGCCGCCGCCCGCGCAGAGGCCCGCTTGGTTTAGGCTCCATGCATTCGAAGGCCAGGCAACGTATGGGTTTAGGGTTTAGGGTTCAGGGTTCAGGGTTTAGGGTTTAGGGTTTAGGGTTTAGGGTTTGCGTTTAGGGTAGCCGAACATCTGTTCAGTCGTAGATGGAAAGGGTCAGAGTGCTCTCCTTTTGGAAGGAGCTATTCACGGACAACTACTCAATAGTACTTCAGATTCTAGGAGATCTTTGGGCCGCTGGATAGGTGGATTCTGCAAAGATATTTGCGGCATTGGTCTTTCTTCTTTGATAGTTCCAACCCCTTGGCACACCCCGAGGCCACAATCCGGCCACCCTCGCATGTTCTCAGCATAGGTTCCGCCGAGGACCTGAAGACCCTTGAAAAATTTTTGTAATCCGAGAAACGGATATTCGGTCATGTCTGTAATAATAGTAATCATGTTGATAGCTCACCAAAGCACGCCAGTTCACTGACCGCGGACCCAACTTCCGTGCCTCTGCATCATCCGGAGACATCGGGAGTATCAAGCTTACTCTTTGACATGAAACTTACCAAATCCACCTAGGACCTAGCAACATGATCACGAGCATGCTCGGCAACCGAAGCGTTGAAACATTTTAAGTTGCAAGCTGCTCACCAAGGTGGGGGGTTTGCGATACTAGGGGGGGGACCTTACTGGCGTCCTTATGATAAGGAGATCCCCCCTATTTGGGTATTATAAGGAGATCATCCTATTTGGGTATTTAAAAAGGAGATCCCACTATTTGGGGGTCTATCTTCGTGGTCCCTTATTCTGGTAAACCCCCCAACTGCCACCGTAAAAAAATCGTCGCCGCTATGGACTTCATCCTACTGGTGCTTGTCGTAGCAGCCGCCGGCCCGGCTGAGGCGCCCGTCTCTCAAACACCGGGGGGTTTAGTTCTCTAAATTTGGGGTCCCTTTTTGGGATCCCGTTTTAAAGGGTGCCGCCTGATAGTGGGTACCCAATAAGGAACCCTAGTTTAGGAAACTACACACAGGGATGTAGGCCTTCAGGACCCTGAAGCGCCCCATGTTCGATGCAGTTTGTCTGAGTATGTTTTGGTATGTCTGTGTTCTTGTGTTGTTATGCAAATCATGCTGCCAGCTTCTTATATTAGCATTCTTGACTGTTCTAGTCTATTCTCCACTTCCACCCTATAAACCCTCAGTCAACGTCAGGGACCAGTGCTTCGAGCTTTGATGCACGAACACCGTGGGCGCACACTTCCCAGCAGAAGCCGAACCAGTTCACAACAATACAGGCAAATTATAATACAGTAAGATACAAGAATATCTTTTTTAATACTACGACGCGCTAGAAAATAGGCAGACTTGATACCAGAAAGATCCAAAAAGAAAGGAACAAAGAAACAAGCCGATACCAAATACCAATGCGCAGCTACACAACTCTGAACCTCCCCCCACCCTTCGCGTTTCCAAAGGCCGGAATGTGCCGCAAGCCTGTTCCAAAAGCTCGAGTCTATTTTCCATCAGAGCTGATGCTGGACAATCCCGACCTGGTGATGTACAGCGGCCTCTCTGGCCGCCTTAGCATCATGGGGGGTGTTTGACTGAAATTAGAGTACCTTTCTTTGGCTTCCTAGAATAAAGATTGTGTTTTTTCTTTTTTTGCTTGGGGGGGTTGAGGGTTTAGGGGTAAGTCTGAGGCGCCGCTTATGTTGGCAAATCCCCGCATTTCCTGGCAGTACATTTGATAGCAGCCAGGGCCCATAGACATGGGTTTAGGGTGGCCATCACGGCACTTCTTGGACATCCACAGCTTGGGATGTTCCCCCTCTAGGATGCCCAGTAGTACCCTTATTCCCTTTTTGGGGGTTTTAGGTTCCCTTATAAACCCCTTTTAGCAAAAAAGGGCACCCTTTTTAAGCCTAGGTTACTGGGCAGCCTAGCCCTTATACTAACAGTCCTTACTAGGGATGGTACGAGGGGGTTACGAGAATCCCTCTGAAGGGCTCTGAGTATAAGGGGGGGAAGCATCCCATCCACCAGGCTACGTGAATGTGACTCCCGATGATTATTTGTTCTACTGGTTTTTCCGGGCCATGGAGCCAAAGGCTTCAGAGGCCCCCACACCCGTGATCTTATGGACCAACGGAGGGCCAGGGTGCTCCTCTATGGAGGGAGCCACTGAGATCGGGCCTTTGGCCCTGAGAGGGGTGAAGCGGTCGAGAGACTGGTCAGGGAAGCTTTCCTTCAACCGCTACGCCTGGAACCGGAGGGCGCACGTGCTCATTGTGGATCAGCCTCGTTACGTGGGCTTCTCCACGGGCAGGGGCCGCTTCATCAACTCCTCGGCGGAGGCCGCGCTGGACATGGTTGAGTTTCTGCGGGGCTGGCAGATGCTGTTCCCGGAGGTCGATGCGAGTTTTGTCTTGGCCGGGGAGTCGTACGCAGGGCACTTTGTGCCAGCTTGGGCTAAAGCCATTGCAGACTACAACCGCAAGTGGCGGTACGTGCAGCCGATGCCTCCAATCCGGATTGCAGGCATCGCCTTGAGCAGCGCGTGCGTAGATGAGAAGATCCAGAGCCTGGACACTCTCGTCACTTACACAAAGCAAAGAGGCTTGCTGCCCGAGTATGCTGAGCCGAGGAGCCTCTGGGAAGCCACAGAAATGATGGCGATCCACCTGAAGTACCGTCCGAACACCTACGACTACACTCTCCGTGATGCAGGACCCTGTTGTGGATGTTACGGCTACAACTACAGCAACTTTTCGAGCTGGTTCTCAAGGGAAGATGTGCTTCAAGCTCTACACGTCTGCGAAAATGCTGGAGAAGACACCTTTGCGGGCTGTGCAGGTAGCTGCATGACTTTACCCGGTGGCTTCGACAAAGGGGCCTCCTTTGATAACGCCGCTGTGCTTTCAGAGTTGCTAGACTTGGGCATCCCGGTTCTTCTCATGTACGGCATGAAAGATCTCACCTGCAACTTCGTGGGCGCGGCGCCTAGTTATTCCTGGTTGCCCTGAGCACGCTTCAGTCGGCTCTGTACCCCGCAGACGGCATCGGTAGGGTTGTCCTCCACTTGACCCTAAACCCTAAACCCTAAGCCCTAAGCCCTAAACCCTAAACCCTAAACCCTAAACCCTAAACCCTAAACCCTAAGGTGGCTATGAACTGGCCAGCTCCTTGCAGTGGGCCCAAAAGCACGAGTTCTCCGGCGCGCCCGTGGAGGCCTTCCACAGATTTGGGCAGAAGCAATCTGGAGGAGGCCTTGCGGGCCGTCCAACATGTTCTGAAGTCTCTGTAGGGATGGGTTTAGGGTTTAGGGTTTAGGGTTTAGGGTTTCGGGTTTAGGGTTTAGGGTTTAGGGTTTAGGGTTTAGGGTTGAGGTCTCGAAGTTTCAGAGTGGCTTGCACCAAACGGCTGGCAGAGTCTTGTGAGAAAGCTTTGGGACTACGGGTGTGGCGGGCGGTCAGCATCAGAACCCTGAGTCCCAAATCTAGCGGACGACCATCACCCTAAACCCTAAACCCTAAACCCTAAACCCTGAACCCGAAACCCTGGCAGAATCCACGGGCCCCGAGCTGAGGCCTAACATTCGTGCAGACGCTCCACTGAAGTTGGCCAGGGCGACCTTCAGTGTGGGGCTGAACCCGAAAAGCCCTTGCTCAAGCGAATTGTTGCCTATCCCAGAGTCACAAGAGAATTCCAAAGCCGTCAAAACACGAAATTTTAAGATCAGTTAGCGTATTCTTTTATATAAGAAAATTCACATAGATATTGCAATGCAATAAGTTTCCAGTATGGCATATATAATCGGTGTACAGCCCGCTATAGTTATCAATTAAGTATAGAACACCAAATACATAATTGTGACTAGAATACGTTTCTATGCCGTAAAGTTTTCAGCATATCATAGTACATATTTCATATTTTGTGTTATATGTATGTATGCATGCATGTGTGTATGTGTGTATGTATGTAGATATATTCGATATGTTAGTAACTGCCCAATACCCTATATGCATCCGTTGTTGTATATTTTGGTCATTACATAGTCTGAATATATATATATATATGAGTATATATATATATATATGTGTATATGTATATGTATATGTATATGTATATGTATATGTATATGTATATGTACATGTATATGTACATGTATATGTATATGTATATACATATATGTGCATCATACTTTCTACAGCCTCGTATAGATACATATAGACGTACACACATACATATATATATATATATACATATAGATGTAGTCATATATACATATATGTATATGTATATATATATATGTATATGTATTCTGTATGTTTGTGTGCGGAACGCATCATGTGTTCTGTATTTCTTTGTTTGCTGCGTTGGTCACATAGCAAACAATATACTAAACATTATACATTACATTCTTTGTATTGTGTAGATCGATAGTTTCTTTCTGTTCTATTCGATTCTTTTCCACTCTACCCTACTCCACCCTTCTCTACCTTACCCTAAAAATAAGCATATATATATATATACATTTATGTATACACACATATACTGTTTGCGTATGAACTGTCATGTGTTTTTGTTTTACAATGTACAAATGGCATTCGTACACACGTTTTCATTTTTAGAGTCTAGATCTACTTATGGCATATCTACCTTTTCATACCTGTTCTAACATTATGAGAAGCTAGCATCCATGCAGGGTCCTGTGCTGCAAGCACAAGGAACCATCGCCGGCCCCAGCAGTCTCATCTTGGTGTAAGCCTCTATTAAGTAAGAATCTCGGGCCGCAGCACCCAAATCCCTAAACCCAACTTGTCGAATGTCTCTGGCATTCCTGTGGCCAAGGATCGAGGAAGCTGGGCACATGTGTCCTGCAGACACCCCCGAGGCTTCTCATTATGCCATCGACCTACTGCTTGACGACTCTTGCCTCTCAATATGGCTCTATTTGAAGTTGGCAGTTGCATTTTGGGCATGGTATCTTGCAGTATGGGGCAAAATCCTCCACGATAATCGGCACGACCTACAAGAAGGCTAAAGTCAAGCCTAACTTCACGCAGATCCATTTGCTCTAGACGCGGGAGAGGCTGCGCAGCAGCTGCCCTCGAGAGACACCTCAAGCACAGCTCCAAGAAGGTAGCCCCCCCTAAACCCTAAACCCTAAACCCTAAACCCTAAACCCGAAACCCTAAACCCTAAACCCTAAACCCTAAACCCTAAACCCTAAACCCTAAACCCTAAACCCTAAACCCTAAACCCTAAACCCTAAACCCTAAACCCTAAACCCTAAACCCAAACCATCACAGCGAGCTCCACAACAGGCACATCTTGTGCTAAACGCAGAAGACAGCGCCTGCACCCGGATGCTTCATAGCTCCTTCTAAGGCGGTTGCAACCAACAGCGAGTCCACCTTTCTGAGACAGTTCCGGGACACTTCCGCTACCCCGAGGCCAGATATTTTTTTGGGAGGAATTGCATCATAGGAAGACACTGCTTGCCAATGTCAGGTTTGAACCGCGGAAATTTGCACGAACGCTTGTGCACACTCGAAAAAAGCTTGCTGGTTTTTTCATTCATGCAACTCTTTGTCCGCTCAGTCCAAACAGCTTTCGCGACAGGCGTGAACCCTGAGAGACTTCCGACATTTCACTGACCCTTCCACAACAGAGAATCTCGTTACCACGTCATGCAAGCAGGCTCGACGACCCCAGCGTCTACCACACGATTCTGGCTCCGAGTTGAAACCGAAGAAGCTTTTTGGGTTTTGCTTCTCCCTGCATAGATAGCATCGGAATCATATCCCCCTTGGGAATCATTTCTTATTTTTGTTCATATAAACCCCAAGAGGATATTCAACACTTTATTTTTGATTCTAAGGGGAGAATAGGGAATGGAGCATGAGGTTCTGGCCATCGGTGGGCTTGCCTTGTCCTCGCTGCTGATGCTGCTGGGCCTTCGTTTTCGAGTTCCAAGCCTGGTCCTCTTTGGGCGTCAGACGCTTGCTTTGCACGCTCCGAGCGCTGTTTTGTGTTTCTCTCCTGAAATAGGGTCATCCTGCGTAGCGTCGGCCAGGGTCTCCAAAATCTCCCAGGTTGGATGAGGGGGATCCCCCGTTAAAAGGGAACCCTTCTTCACCCTCTTCTGGCTTTCGTAAACAAGGACCCTTATTCAGAGGGTCTGTATCTCCAAGGGTCCCGCTAATCCTCTCCCCTTAAGGGGCCAGAGATGTTTCGGAAGGGTTGGCTCCCACAATGTCCCGCGGCACTCTCTGAAGAATGCTTCTCATCCAGATGTGTTTTGGGCCCTGGCATATCTTGACACATTCCGACAATTCAACACATTCATCTTCAAGGCCCTGCCTCTATGGTTGAACACAAATGTCTTTCCGACATGCTTGGACATGCAGCCGACGGCTGAGGACTAAAGCAGAAGAGCAAGCAAAGCTGGACGCTTGTCTGCACACTCGAGGGCCGCAGCTTCTTCATTGCCACCTCAGCTCCAACTTAAGCCCTGAACTTGGGATGTTCCCCCTTATACTCGCACTCGCAGTCCTTAGAAGGGATTATAAGTTGGGGGGTACTAGAATCCCTGTGAAGGACTGTCAGTAAAAGGGTGGAGCATCCCAACCCTGAACCCTAACCGCCCCCTTCCCCAACCCCCCCTAAGGCCAGATCGCCGAGTGAAGCAAAGTGTCTGATCTCCTCAGTGTCATCCACAGAAGATCTCTCCAACAGGGATGAAGCTGCTTGGAATGCGGAGGCATGAAACCCTTGGCCAGACCGAAATGATTTCCCTAAGCCCCCTCCCCTCATGATGCAAGCTAACCAGCCTGCAGCTTTGCACAATTCTGAAGACTCCTGGCACAATTGTGAAGACGCCTGGCGCAGACAGCAAAGAAATGCTTGGAACCAATACTTCTGAGGAGCACTTCTGGGCTGGGTTAGGTAGGGCCTGAGGGTTTAAAGTAGCTAGCGCGGTGCTTCATGCTTCAAACTGAGACGGCATCTGGATTGCTTCTTTCTCCTAAACTGGGCACCTTGCGAATGGCAGTTGCCTAGAAACGGCAGCCAAGCTGCGAAGCAGCATGTAGCAGCCGCTTGCAAAGAATCGTAGGAAGCGGAATGCTAGCAGTCCGCAGGTCGGCAGCCAAGCAGCGAGACAGCAGGGTTAGGGTTTAGGGTTTAGGGTTTAGGGTTTAGGGTTTAGGGTTTAGGGTTTAGGGTTTAGGGTTTAGGGTTTAGGGAGTTGTTCTGCACTAGTAGGGTAGAGACAAGCCCACGCTAGTGCTCCGCTAGATTATGGCGCAGCTCCGAGCAGGACCGCATAGTTTAGAGGCACTGTTCCGAAGGAACTCAAGTGCCACTGGTCCTACGTATTTCCTAGCCTGGACCTCTGCAGGCTTGATTGCAGCTTGGAGAAGCAATGGCGCATCAAAACCAAGCAAGGATTTGGCGCTTGGGCCCCCTGAAGCTTAAGCCCCCGAACCTACAAATTTAAGGTTTAGACGGGTTCCGAGCTTTCACTCAAAGCTTTTGGGGCCGTAACTCCCTAAGCCCTACACTTTGTAAACCCTATACACCCTATAGACCCTATAAACCCTATAAACCCTATAAACCCTATAAACCCTATAACCCCTATAAACCCTATAAACCCTATAAACCCTATAAACCCTATAAACCCTATAAACCCTATAAGCCCCAAACAAGCCAATGCACCAGCAGTAACCCTAAACCCTAAGCCCTAAATCCTGTGGGGTTGGAAGGTTCAACGAGCCAATGCACCAAAACCCTAAACCCTAAACCCGAAACCCTATACATCCCTAAGCCCTAAACCCTTTGGGGTTGGAAGGTTCAACGAGCCCATGCACCAGCAGTACGCCACAAGTAAGGCTGCCGGACTGGCCAGGGGCTAAGACCCGTGGCCCCTCGGTTTTGGGGGCTTTGGGCTTTGGGCTTTGGGCTTTTGGGTTTTTCGGTTTTTTTTTTTTTGGGGGGGGGGGGGGGGGGTGGGGGGGGGGGGGGGGGGCGTGCTTCGGGTTTTTCGGATTTTGGGAGTTTAGGGTTTTTGCGATTTCGGGGTTGTAGGGTTTTGGGGTTGTAGGTTTTTTGGGGTTTTTGGGTTTGAGGTTTTTTGGGGGTTGTAGGGTTTAGGGCAACTAAACCTGGCTGCAACGATTCTCCAAGCCCAAAGGTTTCAGTATGTTCAAGTACCCCAAGCTCAAGTTCTGGGTTTAGGGTTTCCCCCCCCCCCCCCCCCAAAAAAAAAAAGCCAGAAGTCAAAAGAGTCAAAATTCAAAAGAAGCCCTTACCAAACCCCAGTTGAACAAGCGCCTCCTTTCCCGAAACTCGAAGAGAAGCTCCCAAACCTTTACTGTCGGTTCGTAGGGAATGAGGGAATGAGGTACCCTAAACCCTCAACCCAAGGGTATATATATATATATATATATATATATATTAGGGAATATGGGGTACGTCATTCCCTCATTCCCTACTACCCAACAGTAAGAGCCACCTCAGGCGCCAGAGCTGGCGTTTCGGCAGCTGCTGGCCCACAGGCGGATCTAGGGTTTAGGGTTTATCGGGTTTAGGGTTAAGGGTTTAGGGTTAAGGGTGAAGGGTTTAGGGTTTAGGGTTTAGGTTTTGGGGCTTCCTGTCCGAAACGGTAAAGAAAAGGATCTGATCCCCAGCTCCAAGGGCCTTCCCCAGCTACTTGTCAGGTCGGTGAGAGGTTTGAGGAGTCTGGGTTTTTGGCTTGGGTTTAAACTTCAGTGTTGCTGCAGATAGTCGCACGTTACAAGGGGGGGAGGAGCTACGCTGTAGTTCCCGGGATCAAGTTAGAGCAGGTTTCATCGATCGCACAATCTTGAGAGGTGCGGCTCCATTCTTAGATTTAGTGTGGTGGGCTAGGACGTGCTTTTCGGATGCTGCCTCTCAGAACAACGAATGAACCCTCCTACAGCACCCCTGGTCAAACTACACGCGGGACGAGTTGCCAGGAAAGAGCTTTCAGAAGATGACTGGCTGCCCTGGGCTTGGGTGTCGATACTAAAGAAATAAATAGACGAATAAGTAAATATATAGTGGCAAGTATATATATATATATACATACATATATATATATACATGTATTTATTTATTTATCTTTTAATGATATCTATATATATATATACATACATACATATCAATATATATATATATGTATATATATATATATACTGTTCACATTCATGCTAATACTACCACATGAACATGCTGAGGTAAGCCTTCAAACTCACGTGTCCTATCATGAGAACCGTCATGAGCACCGTGCAGGATGCCTCACTGAGGTGGAGGTCTTCCTCGAGCCATAACCCAAATCCTACAAACACTAAGTTAAAAGGGTTTAGGGTATAGGGTTTAGGGTTTAGGGTTTAGGGGTTAGGGGTTCTGGGCCGATAGGGCCGAACCCAGCTCATGCAGCAAGGCAGCTCTGGGCGAACTTCAGTGAGTGGGCCAACTCCACCACTTGGCAGAATGGTGCCGCAAATCTCTCTTCAGCCAACTGGACGGTGGCCCAGAATGCTGTGGCCTTAAGGGTTTAGTTGTTTAGGGTCGGCATGCCGAGTCCTAGGTAGCCTATCGGCTCAAGCCCTGATCCTATGTGCTGCATCCGGACATCCGAGGTGTCCAGTGGAAACAGCACGCGAAGACTCCAGGCAGGGCATGGATTGCACAGAAGTCCCAACTCATTCATGAGCGATACTTCGCGGAACTGGGCGCTTGCACAAGAGCCCCTGGTTAGGACTCCTTCTTGACCACCACAGAGGCGGGGATCCAGGGATGAAAGGCCTTGAGAACACACAAGCCATGCAAGCCAAGAGTGCTAAAACCCTAAACCCTAAACCCTAAACCCTAAACCCTAAACCCTAAACCCTAAACCCTAAACCCTAAACCCTAAACCCTAAACCCTAAACCAGCCTTCCGAAGCCACCAGCGCGGCCCTGCCCAGTACCCCCTGGAAGCCATCAACCCGCTGTCCATGCGCGCACCACAGCTCCGGCCTTTGATCCAAACCCTGTGTCAGAAGGATTTAGGGTTTAGGGTTTCTGTGGGCATGCTTTTGTTCCGTGGGGCATGCTTCTTCAGTTGCCCTTAAGGGGACCCTCGCAAAAGCATCACTTGCAACGCTGTTATGCGATGACAGATTTGAAGATTGAGGCAGTGCCTCGCAGGCACATACTGCACGAACCTCAGCTGGTGCTGCTGGATGTGGAATATCCGCAACCCTGAAGTCATACAGGTAGTTCCTAATTCGTGACCCTCTTTGGGTCCCCGTAGACTTCGGCACCCTATAAAAAGTACGCAAAAGAGTATCTACCCAGATATCCATTTTGCACAGCTCCAACTCTCCCGAGGTGATGCACGTGCCGGTTCCTCTGCCGGTACTGGGCTATGTCCCCCTGGGACCCGCCGGCCTGTTTTGAAATGTAGCGAGGCTGAGGGCAGCAGTCGGACTCTCGGACCCAGTAGGGTCCAAAAAGGGAGGTAGGTTGATGGCGAGACAGACGCATAGACAATGCTGTGAAGGGGTGCTGTGCCAGGAAATACTGTCCACCAGGTGCGGGTGATCCTGCGGAGGCAGGCTCCAGTGCTGGGGTTGTTCGATACTTCGTGATCAAGCAGCTGTACTGCTTGGAGGTTCATAGATACTTATGAGTAGCGACCGAAGTATCTTGCACAATGTTATAGCCATCGTTACCTTCCTGATAGCTCTGGTAGCCCTTCTGATAAGCACCCATGAACCTCCAAGGATACTGGAGAACACGCGCAGCATAAAGCCTTGAGCCACCCAAAGTGATCCGCGGATGCCGTCAAAGCCCCAGGACCCCAAACCCTAAACCCCAAAAACCCGAAATGCCGACACCCCAAAATCCGAAACCCCAAACCCACGAATACCCTAATATTCACCCCCCACCCTATGAAATAATATGAAATACCTCCCATATACTACAATGTAGCTATAGAGGGGAGAATTTAAAATTAGGGGGTAGGGGGGTGGCGGTTAATACTTTGGGGGGGGGAGATGGCTTTAGGGTTTAGGGTTTAGGGTTTAGGGTGTAGACTACAGAGGGGAATAAGACTTTCAACCGCGCGCTCCCCAGGCGCCGGAAGGAGTGTTCGTGGATGGCTCGGGCAGTGTCCGAGGAGTGGAGTCTGGAGCCCAGTGAATTCAGGCCCTGGGGCTGCCTTTGGGTTTAGGGTTTAGGGTTTAGGGTTTAGGGTTTAGGGTTTAGGGTTTAGGGTTTAGGGTTTAGGGTTTAGGGTTTAGGGTTTAGGGTTTAGGGTTTAGGGTTTAGGGTTTAGGGTTTGGTGGTTGCACGACTGATGACTAGTTCTTGGACTTCTCGGTTCGAGTTAGGTGACAAAGCGGGCAAGGCTCTACAAGCTTGCAAGCAGCCAGATCCCACACCCTTCAGGGTTTAGGGTTTAGGGTTTAGTGTTTAGGGTTTAGGGTTAGGGTTTAGGGTTTCTTTGGCAACAAGCTGGCGCTGATGTTGCCCCCTGCCTTGAGGATCCAAGATCGTACTCGCTGTCATGCTCAACCATTTTGAGGCATCTCCCAGACAGCAGCAGACCCAGGCACGCTCCTTCGAAAGCTAGAAAAAGTAACCTCGGCAAGTTCGTCGCCCGAAGGTTTTTTTGAACTTCCCTGAAGTCCAGCAGACCCCCCCCCCCCACCCCCCGCAAAGATCCGCGTAGAAGGCCAAGGATCCCCCCTAAAACAGCCCCCCGAAACCCCCAAAGAGACTTCCCAAAGAGCCATGGCGGGAATCAATTGGCCTGGATTGCTGGCCTGGAGCCGCGGCCTTGGATTCATTGACGCGAGAGCCAGTTTAGGGTTTTGGGCTTCGGGCTGCTTAGGGTTTGGGGTTGAGGGCCACCCTAAACCTCGCAGAGGCGTGGCTGGACTTGGGACCTCAGGGTATACAGGAAGGAGAGTGGCGTTGGAATGCTCCGGTTATCCCCAAGTTGGCTCATTCGGCCCTAAACCCTAAACCCTAAACCCTAACCCCTAAACCCTAAACCCGAAACCCTAAACCCTAAACCCTGAGTGTTGGTGTGGCTTTTTGGTCCCCGAATGGGTTGGGGTCCATCGAGAGGCTTAGGGTTTGAGACTTCGGGGGCTTCATGCGCAACGGCCCACAAGCCCCGTAACTTCCTAGATGGCTAAACCCCGTTTAGGGTTTAGGGTTTAGGGTTTAGGGTTTCATACATCGACTGCGGCGTGTGATGTGGATCCACGTTTAGATTTCAGAGACCAGGGCGACATTGATGTTCACCCCTGAGCCATCAATTCCCTAAGGCCTGGGAAGGGTAGATGAAATTCATGAAGAGAACCAGCCCACAGCTGGTATTCTTGTAGGTTTTCAAGCCATTCATGCTCTAAACTCTAAGGCTCTAAGCCCTATTAAGGTACATGGTCGGATACTCTTTTCGTGGCAATGGACCGAAACGCCCATCATCGCAACGGCGCCCTAAACCCTAAACCCTAAAGCCTAACCCCCTTGGAAAGTTCCTGCTGCGAGTTTCGAGTTTAAAATTTGTAAGGTTCGTCTCTGATTTGTTACAATTTTTCAGGAGTCTCTGCAAGGGCCTGGGGAGTGAGGATTTCGAGGAACGGCTGGTGACATAAGTTTTTTCCTAGGTTTTTCTAGTGGCGGGAAGAACCCCAACTCCATACCTCGAGCCCCAAATCCTGACATGCAGTCCCGAAACCCTAAACCCTAAACCCTGAACCCAATGTCAGGCACCAAGTACCACGATGGCACCGCACCCTCAGAGTTCAAGCAGATGAGCGAAGAGGATCGGAGGTGCCATGAAGGGATCAGGGGGCCCTCATTCTTGGAAGCACCCTAAACCCTAAACCTTTTTTTTTGGGACAAAGGAACCAACCCCAAAAAAGGGTGCCCTTATTATAATATGGTAACTGGGCAAAGAATTACACCCACCTAAACCGTAAGGTGTTATACTGACATGAAGACCCAAACGAGAAGTCCATCCACGAGTGACGCTCCGAACAGGAAGCTAGTGTAGAACCAACTCCGTTTTGATCTGTCAAGGTTCTTGGAGAAGGCGATGGAGGAGGCCTTCGGACACATTGAGGCAGGGCGACATGGCAGATCCAAGCCATCACAACCTTGCGACCGTGATCCAGCTACAGAGTGTGTATGGGTGCTTAGACTTTGCTCGCAGCACTTTCTTGGCCCACCTCCTGCAAAATATGCACAGAACGCTGAAGTACAACAATGTGTGCATCACGTTGGTTCCGGTGCTGGATTTGCCCAGGATTTGGAAGTGTGCTGAGTGACAAATGGTCAGCCAGTTCCCCGACTAAAACTCTCAACCCTCAGCTCTGAGCCCTAAACCCTCACGAAACAAACCGAAGAAACCTCCCAACAAAAACCCTGAAAAGAAGCCCCAAAGTTTCCCGAGGATCCCAACCAAGTCATGGTCGAGGCCCGGGCTATGGGTTGACGTGATCATAATATTAGTCATAACAACTGATTGTCACAAGACACGTCGTAGTGGTAAGCGTCACAATCGTATTTTCTCGTAGCCTCATAGTAGACATAGTCACATAGAGCATGTTCCGTTTTGGCGTCTCATCGCCGGAAGTTGAAGAGATGGCTCTCATGTGTGTTTCGGGGTGTCGGGTGCAGGCTGGCCTCCCCCCACCCACCTTCAGTGCACCTCTCTTAGGGTAAGGACTCTTTCAGCTTGTGTGGGGTAGAGGTGTGTAGGGTTTGGGGAAGGTTCAGGGGTTGGCACGAGAGGGGCAGCCTTGTCGTCACAGTCAATCAGCCTCGCTTCTCAGATGCCCAAGGCCTCCAAAGCCCCCAAACCTTACTCTGTAATCTGCAGAACAAGCAAGTAGAACTGGCAAAGACCCAGGTCAGAGAGCCCCTTTCCGACCGCTGCGAAATACAATTCTCCTTTCGAATGGAGGCACGTAGCGAACCCATTCAAGATCGCCAAATGCAGAAAAGTACTGAATGTGCCTGCCTCGTTTTCGCGTCACGGAGCGACGCAAGCCTCAAGAAGTGCATGGTACCTAGGCGGGAGTGTGCGATTTTTGGCCCAGCCTCCTTCCCCTGAACGTTGGAACTGTTGAAACTTCGTAGAGTTGCCGCACTGCTTGGGAGTAGATGACAATGAAGTCGTACAGATAGAGACACACCCCTAAACCCTAAACCCTAAACCCTAAACGCATAGAACTCTAAGCTCTAGATCCCATCCCTCCCTTCTTGGTGAAAAAAACACACCGTATACCCTGTTGTTACAATAAGGAAAGAAACCCTAAACCCTAAACCCTAAACCCTAAACCCTAGAAAAAAACCGGAAGCATTCTCAGGCGCGCGACCAGATCACCTCTTCGGAGAGAAGTGACGAGAGCATCTCCACAGCCCTAGAGGCGGCAGCCGCCATGTGCATGGGTTTAGGGTTTAGGGTTTAGGGTTTAGGGTTTAGGGATTAGGGATTAGGGATTCAGGGTGCAGGGTTCGGGGTTCATGGTAATCATCATAAAGCCCAAAATACAGCTTAACAATATTATGATACAGTCGTGTAAAAACAATAGTATATATATATATATATATATGTGGGAAGTATTGATATTATCATATACTTGATATACTGCTACAATAGTACAAAAATAGCTTTAAAGGCATCCTGGGAGAAAGGTCATTGATCGCTGCTGCGACGATCCAGACTGCGCGCGCAACGCCGAGAAGTGCCTTGGACAGTTTGCATCTGTGATCACAAGTGGTTTAGGGTCTAGGGTTTAGGGAAGTTTAGGGTTTAGGGTATAGGGTTTAGGGTTAAGGGTTAGGGAGATACAGTTTCTATTCAATCTTGATTTGCAGATGCTAGGGAGCGATACAGTTGGCAGAAGGCGATTCTTTGGCTTGCAGTCTGCTTTGCTGCTTGAGGCTGGACGTCTTGCAGCCCTTGCTGGATCTGGTCTCCTCACATGAGCCGTGAACCCCAGAGCATTCAGTGCCTTTGCCAGTGAGAGAGGAGCCACGTCTTAGACACAGACCAGCAGATGAAATAGTATAATACACATAATCATTCTACTTACTAAGATTATGCGCATTATGCCAATGAAATAATATGCCATTGTCCTGATATAATATTAGAAGTAGGATCCCATGAACAGAAACAAATCCTGTGCTTCCTGACCAGGGGCTCCATCCGCAACAGGACTCTACGGCGTCTTGGGAGCTTAGCTCCCTTTTGTGGCTTTAGGGGGTTAGGGCTCTCTGTGCACACTCGGAGAGGTATTTCGGGATTTTTGGGTTTTGCGGGTGGCCTCACGGTTCAACAATTGCAGGGTAGAGAGCGGGCCTTGTCCGCACCCTCACAGGACCTTCGAAATTCTGGCGCTTCTTTTCTCCAACAACCCGAATATCCAGGCCGGGCACCCGAAGCCAGGAGCTCCTAAGCATCCTTCTTAAGCCATTCTGAAATCATGTTGCCCTTTGTTAAGAGGCAAGCAGAGAGGACCCTTCTTAAGCAACTCCCACTCTGTCCGAGAGTCCTAGCTAAAGGCTCCAATGTAGTACCCTTTTTGGGGTAGTATACTAGAAATACAGTTTGAAATACACCCTAAACTGAGTGAGCCTGGGGCCGTCGAGCAGGGCGAAGCCGAAGCCGGCAGGCGAGGCAGCTCCGGAGCCAGACGCCCTCCGGCGGGCGACGGAGCTCCAGTCCCGCAGGCAGCTGCGGGCTGCGCGGTGGACCCGGCAGGTCGCTGGCGAGAAGCCCGTCAGGTGAGATACCCCAAACCTTCGGGCAGAACGCAGCAACCTCCAACTGCAACCTCCAACTACCCTTGGGGCAGAACGCAGAAACCCGGCTTCGTGGACCAGAGGCCGGTCCAGGCAGGCAACCCGACGGGACCCTGCCTGGGCCCTGCGCTCTGCCCAGCCTTTGCAGAGGCCCGAAGCCAGTCCGGGCAGGCAACCGAGCTTTTGCCTTGCTGGAGGACCTTGCCTGGAGAGCTTGTAGGCCCATGCGGAATGGGACCGCTCCCAGCATCCCAGGCAGGGGCCTTCAATTCCAAGGCCTTCCACAGCATGAACAAGGGCGCGGCAGCAACCGCCCGTCCCAAACTTCTGTCTCAGGTTAAGCGTCTCATCGATGCCGAGC